GGACCATTCTTTTTTGACATTTTTCATTACAAAGCTACACTCCATTTGATCGAGCGCCGCGAAGAGAGTGTTGTTTTTGACGAAAGGGAGGGGGTTCCGGAGTTTTGACTAAATATGGGACGGTTTAGAGGTATAATGTAAAGAAATTTTGATAAATTTTTGTCGATTTTTTGCTTGAAAAGCGCAAAAAATCAGTTTGTCGGGAAAATAATGAACACTTTGTCGCATCGAAAATCGTATCGCCGCTGAGAAAATGAATGTGTCGCGGCAAAATCAAATTGCTTTTCACTTCGGCGACGCGATCAGCGACATTGTGCTCATTATTTTCCCGACAGACTGATATTTTTTCGAAATTTATCCTTCTATTTTGACAGTAATTTACTACGTTTCCATTTCGACTTTTTTTTGTAAAAAAATTTTTCATTTTTACACTTGATACTTGCTGCGGTATAGCCAAAAAAAACATTTTTTTCTCTGACCGTATTGCAACGGCGGCTGGAAATTTGAGGCTTTACCCTTTTTTCTTGGCGAATTGAAAAATTTTGCTGCGACGACCCCCCACTATTTTCCCGACAAACTGATAAGATCTCGCCAAGCCAAATTTGTCGCAAATCGGGCAGCAGAAAGCCTTTTTCTTTTTTTTGCGTTCCCAACTTTAGCTCTCCACTTCTCTGTGCGAAGCAGAGAGAAAAAGAAAAGTGATGTGATTGTCGAAAAATCGAAAAAATGGAGAGTTGGCTGAACCCGCTCCACTCCCGCATTACAGCCTTGGCGCTGGGTGGGTGGGTGGTGGAAGGCGAGGCGCTTACGGTAGAGGCGTATTAAGATCAATAGGTCAGGTTGGGTTGGAAGTTTCATCCTCCGATCCCCTTCTTCTTCAAAAGCACTCTGTGTAATCGGCGCTGTAGATGTTCCATTATATGCAGGTCTCTCTTTATTCTGCAGACCCCCTCGGTCTTTTCCGTTGTTTACCCGAAGAAAGTGATCTTTTCAACTGCGCCGCTCACAGTTCAAGAGGGAGTTGTTTTCGCGTCCCAACCTTTCGGGTCGACGACGGTTCGGATCAGCACAAAGTCGAGTGATACGGGGCGTAGGGGGATGCCAAAAAGAAGGTTGTAGAAAGTGAGGAATTGAAGGAGGAGGCTTGGCAAAGCTGTGGGAGGGTTGGCGGACAATCGGCGAAGGCTCGGCGGAGACTTAGACTTGCAAATTTTCAAGTCTTTTTCTAATTTTTTTAGCTATTACTAAAATTTGCTTTCTTTATCCTTAGCTTTTGTAACATTTAAAATATCACCATTTTCGGCCAAAAATCCAGCTCCGTAACTTTTATCAAGATATTTTTGGTGTGAGTAGCAATGTAATCTAAGATCTAAAATACCTAAAAATAGGTGACAAGCTATCCTAGGGCCCGATAAATCTTGTTATTTCTTCAAAATAAGCCTTCTCCAAGTCTCTCCAATGCATACAACGACGGACCAACGCGATCCGTAGTCGCTGACTCGAAAAGTCGTAGCGTCGTTTTTTTCGCGCAAAAAGGTTGTTCTCTGGTATGAACTGAACGGTTAAACGTATTTTTTTATATCATATAACTTGTTGAGACTCTCGTTTCCTTCAATTTGTTAATTTCAAAAGGGTTTCATCCCATCTCCCGCACTTAATGCCCTATACGCGGCCAGATTACGAGCCCATTCCCAATTGTAGACCCTTTGTTTTGTGTTCAAAATCTTTTTACAGCCTTCATATTACACTTTATGTTTTTTACATTTCCCGTTAATCATATGCTTACGCGTTTTTTACCGTATTCCCTTGGTGTCGGCGCAGGAAAAGGTTAGTTTTCAACAGGCAAACACAGTTTGATTCACCTGCCTTGTTGTGGAATGAAGTGCTTTTTTTGGAAGCCTTTTGCTTCGGTTTCTTTTGTTTTGAAAGCGATTTTGTTTCGGGAAAAAATTTTGGGACTGTCGGGAAAATAATGACCACCCTGCTACATCGAAAATCGCATTGCCGCCGAGAAAATGAATTGAATCGCCGCGAAATCAAATTTTTTTTTCATTTCGCGACTATCCCTGCCACACAAATGCTTATTATTTTCCCGACAGAATGATTAAAAAAACTTGTTTTGAGCCTACAGTAAGCTGTCGACAGTTTTGTTTCGAATTCTCTCTCCCCAAAAACCCCCCGCACATCATGACACAGACCGCGGTCCGCGAAATGTTGCAGCCGTTTTTTGAGTGCGTGTCCAAACTGTTTACGAGCCCGCTATTACTTTTACAATCGCGTTACAGTGCAGGGCCGTGAGCACAAACACATTGCCCTACAAGGGCTTGTAGGGCAATGTTTGTGGTCGCGGCATTTCGAGGCCTCTTTTTCGACACCACTTGTTACAACTTGACACCTAGCCCCAACAATGGATCAAAACGTGGGGCCGCCCGCAGGCGTTGCGGCACCGAAAAGACGTCTTTGATCTATTCAAACTCCCAAAACACAAGATGAAATCGGTTTTGGAGTGAGTTGAAGGTCAAGCGGCCTGCAAGGCTTTACTTTTTAGCGGGGGAAACGAGGCTTCTAAGCCGCTGAAACCGAGATTTTTCCCGGTGATAAGTCGTGTTGCTGCAAATTTTAAGCTGTATCATGATTTAGGGGGTCAAAGTAGGAGTCGCAGATTGCGATGTGCTTCTAGTTACATCTGAATTTCATGTCGTTTCGCCGCAACGCCAATCATCAGCGAATTTCGGGCACTTAAGCCACTTCAAACATCTTGTACGATTGCGCTTTCGATTTGTTGGCGTAGAGGGATCTACGGTGCCTTTCGACTATTTAAAAAGATTTGCGGTGTTTTTAGACTATTTAAGAAAACCTACTGCGCCATTTGGAACTCATCCTGAATTCGTCACCCTTCACTTTACCAGTTACTTCCGCCCTGTCGGGAAAATAATGAGCACAATGTGACTAGCCAAAAATAATAAGATATTGCTTTAACACAGTTAATTTACTCGGCGGTGATGCGATTTTCAACGTGACAGAGTGCTCATTATTTTCCCGACAGACTGAGACACCACCATTTATACGGTTCATCTACCGTAATCATGGTATCTAAATTTACATTGTCTTGATTAGTGATCTTTCCCGTTAGCAGCAACCACTTTAGAATTCAGCTGACTAAAGAATGATAAGTAAGCTAGGAGCGAGCTTGACACATGACAGGGAGTGTAACACCCAAGACGAACCGGTGTTTCGCCCGCTAAGATATTCATAATCAACCATTCTTAGGCAGCTTGAGTAATTCCCTTCTGAAATTGCACAAACTTTAATTCTTACTCTCGGGATTGTTCTCTAACTAGGATACAGTAGAAAATTTTTGTTATAGAGAGGCTTTCAATTTCAAAGGGTTTATCTTATTGTCATCTGCATGTTAATAGTCTATATTTTTTTTCATAAAGCGCATGGACGTTTTTCGCTTTTGCACAGTGCATTTCCAACTTTTTCACACGCTTGTCGCCAATGCACAGTGCATTTTTCTCTTTTCGCACCGTGCAAATCACAAAATGTTCGCGCGCACCGTGCATATTCTTGCATGTCCCAGCGACATTTCAAATGCACAGTGCGAAAAAAGTGGGATGCACGGTGCAAAAAGAGCAGCTTTTTGTGCACGGGACGGGCCGTGACAAATGTCTATGCACATTATGAAAATACAAAAATTAGTGACGTCATCGATGGAATTTTTTGCTTTCTTTTCCGCGCAATTCGACACCCACTTGGTAGAGTTTTCAACTTCCATCCATCGCATTTCTTCTCACGCTAGCCTACAAATCAACAACTTCTCCACAAAATATTCAATTCGTGTCGACCGGAAGATTCCAATGATCTTTACGTATGTTGGAAGCTTCTGCAGATAGGACAAAAATTCTACAGTAAATATGTTACCTCAACACAGTACTTTCATGCCATATATACATTTTTTCACAAACTGTTTCATGGCAGGAAAAATCGAAGAAAAATTAATGTCCATTTTTTTTGGCCCACCCTGTATAGTCTTACCCGCTCCACAAAACCTTTTTCCGATCATGGCCCTGAAGTTGCCGGGCTGACATCGGCGACACGCACTGTGCGAGAACAAGGTTTTCTTTGCACCGTGCAATAGGCTTTTTTGGGCTGTCGCTCGCACCCTGACTTTTTTCGCACAGTGCAAACGTCAAAAATCGGTCCAGCGACATGCACTGTGCGATAACAAAAGTTTTTTTTTGCACTGTGCAATTTTCTTGCCCCGTCTGCTTTCGACTTTAAATTTGCGTACGTGATATTTCGCGTTGTTTCAAATTTGACTTTGTAACATTCACAGGTGGATTTTTGCGGCGGACTTGCAGGCCCCGCCCACCGGTACGTGCTCTGTTTGTTGTTCTTTTAATTCCGCGGCTGTTTTCGTCGAAACATTCTCACCTGCCGGCTATAAAAGGCTGGAAGAAGTGGATGTTTAGTCATCATTGACCAGTTTTTTCATCGTAGAAGGTTGTCGACTTAGGGTTCGTCTATTAGTATGTCGGGAAAATAAAGAGAGCGTTGTCGCTGTAAAAGCAAGTTGATTTTATCGCGAGACAAGCCACTACTTCTCTGCGGCGATGCGATTTTCGATGCGACAGGGTGCTCATTATTTTCCCGACAGACCGATAAGCCAGCCTTAAATCGACTACTGTGTCTTTTGAAATGTGCATTGAGAGATCTCCCACGCTCATTAGACCCTATTAGAGCCACTCGATTATCTTGCAAAGCTTCGGTTTCCCATTCAAAAAATTCTTGGCTTCATATTTTTATTGCTTCCACAAATGAAGATTATTTTCCCGACAGACCGGAAGCAACATTACCATAACTTGCATTTTTAACTATAGCTAGAACAGCATTGGTTTAATTTAAAATTTTCGTCAATATTGTCGCGATTTCTCAATTTTCCTACTGTAGCCAACGATTACAATTAATGTTTTAAAATTTTTTTGCAGAGTTTCAAAATGACAGACGCTGAATGTCAGCGCTTTTTCGCGCTTTCGAAACGCGTCCCCAAGGATGTGAAGCGGTACTGCGGGATCTGCCGACAGCACGGTGTGATGCTGGAGACCCGAGGGCATACGTGTCAGTTCAAGGACTGCACCTGCAACAAGGTAGGCGCTGATTTCAACAGCATTTTTTTTTTTTGAAATTTTGTAATGCCTCTGTCACATTATTAGTTATTTCAAAATGTACATGGACATTTTTCGCTTTCGTATAGTGCATTTTGAACCTTTTCCCACACTTGTCGCCAAAGCACAATGCATTTTTTCCTTTTGCACCGTGCAAACCTCAAAAAAGCCGTTTGCACTGTGCAAATTTCGTGCGCCGTCGCAACGACGTAGCTGACGCGATATTTTGCCGCACAGTGCAAAAGCCAAAAAAATTGAACTGCACCGTGCAAAATCAAGGTTTTTGTGCACGGTGCGGGCGGGACAAATGTCCATGCACTTTCTGAAAATACTAATACTACTGACATTATGCTGTGCAAGAAGGACATCATTTGCGCAATGCAGTAAGCGCGACGAGCAAAATTTACGGTGCACTGCGACCCCGCACAGTGCAAAAGAGTTGCTTTGAAAAGGGCAATCGAAAGCACAGTGCGCCCTTTTTTCGCACCACGCCAAATTTTTATCGCGCGACACCTGGTCGCAACGCCGAATTTATGCGTTCTCACAGTGTGAAAACATGTCAAGACTTTTTGGCTCGCCCTCCCACACAATTTGAACCTCATAAAAACAAGTTCCATAGTCCACAAAGTCCCTCGAATACGAAACCATGGTCCTTGCCAACTCTCAATGTACAACATAATTAGTTTTTTTTCAATAGAAAAAAATTTTGCTGCGATTTCAAAAAAAGGCGTCGGACTTGGCATGAGGTCCAAAATTCGGCATTTTAGTCATCACGTTTTCCGAACTTTGCCTGTGGCAAGATCTTCAGCACATTTTCCTTTCAAATCCCAATTATCGCGGGATTCACGGGGTTTTCAACATTCGAAAAATCGAAGACATTGAGATTTTGTTTTCTCGAAGCCACGAGGTGCAATTTAATTGTAAATGTAAAAGCCTTGGACGCGTATGAATTGGCCACAAATTTAAATTCTTCGGGGGTTGAAAAGCCTAGCCCTCTGCTACTGCTACCGCGGATAACTAGGTGCATTCTCTGAGTAATACCCAATTTATGATGCTTTTAGCACGAGCTGGCAGCGAGAAAAGGCCTTCAAAGGCTTCGTTCATGTACGTTTAGTCTCGTGGGGCTACGGTAGCCTTTTGTTTTTTGGCTAATAACAGCAATATTTTTGGGTAATTACCGCAGCGCATAGTGCCAATGGTTCCGCGCTCCACCGGATGCCGCTAGCATCATTCCCGGTGGCCAACGATTAATGAGGGGCGATAGAGGCAGAGTTTCAAGAGTCAAGAGTGATGAAACATGAATAACAAGCCATAATGGGAGATAAACAAGAGGAAATAGATGGGGCAAGAGTTCAATGTGCACTTGTTTTGATGCATTTGCCTGGATAATTGTGGCCTTCCAGAAAGTTGTCGTATTTTTGATGTATTTTGGCGTTTGCACTGTGCGAAAAAAGCCAGGGTGCCAGCAACAGCCCAAAAAAAGCCTATTGCACTGTGCAAAAAGCAGTTGCACAGTGCAAAGTGAACTTTTGTTTTCGCACAATGCATGTCGCAGAAATCACTCCAGCAACTTTCTGGAAGGACTATTAGTTAAATTGGTGAGCGGGAAATAACTATGAAACAAAAGAAAGTTCAAAAATAAAAAAAATCCGTCCCTGGGCGATGCAGACCTATAGTGAATATATCATCTACAAGTGTAAAAAAATTTAATGCCCAATTTCATCTAAAAAGCCCATATTTTCAGTGTGAACTGGTCCGAACTCGCCGCCGCATCATGAGTCAACAAATTCGCTTGCGCCGCGCGCAAGACAAGCGCTTTCAACGAACCAACGAGCCCGAAGAAGCGGACGTGGTGCCCATCAAGCAGTGCAACGACGAGCTGCGCGCCACCAACCCCGAAGAGCTGTTGGGCGACGCCAAATCCATGTGCTACTTCTGCCAGAAGTGCAAGAATCACAACATTTTGGTGTGGAAGAAGCAGCACAAAAAGCAGTGCCCGTTCACGGACTGCAACTGCGAGAAGTGCGATCTGATCGAGACGCGCCGCCGACTGGATCAGCACATGAAGAAGCGGAGGACGGAGCTGTTGAAGCGCAAGAACCTGGACACGGCGAGTCCGGCGCACAGCAGCGACGACCGCAGCACCCCGATCAGCGTGACCAGCGGAACGTCGGCGTCGCCAAAGAGCTTGAGAATGGGTAGGTCGTCGACTAGTTTGAAATATCAGTCTGTCGGGAAAATATTCGAGTTTTTGGACAAAGATTTGTCACGAAATTCGTCAAAAATTATCGTGGTTTACTATAAATTAAACATCGGTTCTGGGAAGTAAATTGAAAAATCCACAGTAGGCTGTCCCTTCAGGTGCTTTTGGCGTCGAATTTAGACATTTTTATTAAACTTGAATTCTTTATAATCAATCGTATAGTATGACATTTCCGACTTTTCATAATTTTTTTGGTCTGTCGGGAAAATGATGACCACAATGCCATCCTGTCGCTGAAATGAAAAACAATTTGATTTTATTGCGATACAATTCATTTTCTCTTCAGCGATGCAATTTTCGCTGCGACATAGTGCTCATTATTTAAAGGACAGACTGATATAGCAAACTTCGTCCCTTCCCCTTCAAATTTCATAAATTTACATTACTAATTCCCACCATCTTCAGAGAGCCTCACGCCCGAAAACCCCCCAACACTGATTGCTCAACCCAAGCCCATGAACCTCGAGGACACCTTCATGAACAACATGGCGCCCGCTTCGCTGTTCGAACCGCCACAACAGTCCTCGCATATCGTGCAATACGTGCCGGTCTACATTCCAGTCAGCTCGGTGGGATGTCTGAGTCCGCCCGAGCCGGAGAAGCCCAATCCGAATCAGCTGTTGAACAAGCTGTTCAACAACTACGCCATGGAGCAGCCGCGCGTCCAAGGCGACCTGTCCGCCCTCTTCAACAACCTGAACAACATCAACGGCATGAGCGCGAGTACGAGCGCGGTATTCAACACGGTTATGGAGCAGAAGCCGGTGTTCAGTCAGCCCGGCTTGTCCAACCTGATGACTCAGAGCATAAACTTGAATGCCAACGCGAATGTACCGATGCTCCAAACCGGCATGCTGGGCAACGGAATGACGACTAATAATCAATTGCAATTCAACTGCGGCACGGTGACCTCATTACGCGACCTCGAGCGACTCCTCTGTCTACAGCATCAAAATCAAATGGCCTGAAGCGACAGTATTAGGGCAATAGGTCATATATCTAATGAAATAGCAATGTTTTCATCGAATAGTCTTCCAACAACCCCAAAGAGATAATAGTTTTAAGTTTTATAGCCCTCAAATTTGTCAAACTCTATAAGTCCTCTCTTACGTCCCCTAAAATCCGAAATCTGAAAGCTTTTCCAACGCCGCTACAACATGCATCAAGTCTTTTTTTCTCTAATCTCTCCATCTCTCTCTCCTCTCGTATGTTGTGCATCACGGGTCATGTCAAGTCCAACAACATACTCACAAACATGTATATGATGACATACAAACTTGCAGAGTTTTATTTTCCTCCCTCTCCCCCAACAGCTAATATACTGCTTAACGCATAATGGTCGTCCTAGGTTTGGTCCTTGAGTTATTGTTAAAATGGAGTTTTTTACATATTTTCTTCTTTTGTGTTCGGTTAACTGTGTACAAAGTTCTTACGGTGATTTTTTTGTTCGCAAGTTTTTGAATTGTGATAATAAATGTATTGAGAATATACAATTCTTTAATTGATTCGATTTACGTTAGACTTAAAAGGTATATGATAACGGAAATCGCAAGCCAAGGCATTACGAGGTATTGAACGATCAGCGGAGGGAGTACGCGGAAAGTGGAAAGCGGTCATAGAGAGAAAGTTGGCCATATTTTTCCCAGATCAATGCTGGAAAAACTTATTTTTTGTCGAAAATTTACCCTCTACGGTAAAAATAGACATGAAACTTTGGTCGTCTCTGCAAAGCGCCAGCTTCAGTTCTCGCATATTGCGCCACATTTCATCAAACCCTTGTCGGCGTACTCGGAGACTTTCCCTGACCACCGAACCTTTGTATCCAACAAATTACCTACGGTCACAGAGGTACTCCGACTAGTTTTGATGTTCTTAAAAGCTTCAGATCGAGTTGAGTCATAGAGCTGTCTAAAATCTTTACAACCTCGGACTTTCGGGAACATCGTCAATCCTTTTCCAATACAAATAAGACGATAATGTTCTTTGGGAACACTTAGCTATACAAAAAAGGTCGTAAATCAGTGTCACGATATGATATATGTATGAAAAAGGTGTCAGAATTTCTTATTTTTCCTATATTAGTTTGTCGGGAAAATAATGAGCACTCCGTCAATTGCATCGGCGCTGAGAAAATGAATCGTACCGCGACAAGATCAAATTGCTTTTCAATTCAGCGACAACGATCAGCGCAGCAACATTGTGCTCATTATTTTCCCGACAGACTGACACATAGCCTTAACTCTTTATTGTTTTACCGTGTACAAACAAATTTACAGTAAACCCAATGTCTTTTGCTCGCTGTTTTATTAGCCAAAACATTTTACAATATAGAAGATTTAATGCTCAGCACTTTCACTTGACTTTGAGCCAGCATCCCCTTTAACACCTCGATGAATTGTAGTCTCTGTCTTTGTCGTAGTCCCGCCTTCTTTCGCCGGCAGCACCTTCGCCGACTGTCCACAACGTAGCTCTTTCTCCACCGTAGAAGATAGGTCGAACTCCAGCCAAATCTCATTGCTTCCTTGCGGTGGGCTGAAGTAGTATCGCGACACGGCCAGACACCCCGACTTTGACGGTTCTTTGCCCTCCTCGCGCAGCTCTTTGTGGCAATCGTGAAGGACCAACACATATGGCTCGACTTCCCCGAAAATCTCGGTTTCGGAGAAGTTCAGGCCACTGAATTTGTTGTCCTTTAAATGGATCTGGCTCATAAAGTCGTTGGGGTCGATGTCGTGCTCCCACAGTTGGACAGTCCCGGATGTGTGGCCAGTCGCCCCGTCCAGAGGGCACTTCACTTTGCCACCGACTTTGAACTCGGCCGCGCGGGCGACAGTAAGAAAAGCAAAGAAAAATAAAAGTATTTTCTCCATGGTCAATACAAAACAATGTAATTACTGGCTTTCCATCGCTCTCGAAGGCATTTATAGTGGGAAAATATTTACCTCCCGCGCGGGTAGGTTGCCGTTGTAACAATTGGCAACTAAAACTAACAACTCAGTGATCAGATATTTCGTTATCTTCTCGAGGAAAACAACAGTTCTTGCAAAGAGCTGCGAGAAAATACAAAAACAAAGCGAAGACCGAAAGCGGACCATATCAAAGGTCATAAATTAGTTCGATAAACAATGCAAACGATTTCAACAACAAGGTCAACTCTAAGAACTTGTAGTTTACCAAAACATCACTGCTTCAGAACGTTGCATAGAAGTTTATCGCGGCAAATGTCAGTCTCTCGGGGGATTAATGAGCATAACGTCGCTCCGCCGATCGCGTCGCTGAAGCAACAAGTAATTTGAATTTGCTGCGACGCAATTCGCGTTCTCGGCGGCGATGCGATTTTTGTTGCGAAAGGGTGCTCATTATTTTCTCGAAAAATTGATAAGCGGGCCAAAAAGTCTTGACGTTTTTCAACGCGCGACATAGGCTTTGATTTCTCCCTTTTCAGAAAATTTATCAGCCTGCTTATTACTTTCCCGACGTACTGATGTTATGCCCCTTGCATAAATCCTTGTGTCATACAACTGAGCATATTCTGTCGGGAAAATTGTGTGGATTTGTACGACTGGTACCATCCAACGGTTAGTTTTCAACTCCATATTTCAACTTTTTTTATTTATCACTGTTTCTTTCTGTTCTGGAAAATGACGGCTCTTTCATCCAAAATAATATTTACGTTTACTCGGCTGGATGAAACGTCACGTTGGTGACGATTTTAAGCTTAAAAAATTCTATTTTCCAACACTTGTCAGACCGCCGACCGCCGCACCACACACCAGTTCACCTCTGTTGATGTCGACCATCCTTTCGTAGACCGGATTCGGTGCCGGAGAGCGGAAATGGTCGTATGAAACGGCCATACAGTCCGTGCGACCGTTTATAATGTCGGGATGGCAGTCATGAATGACCTTCAAGTACGGCTCGACCCCAAACAACTCGGTTTTGTGGAAGTGTAGGCCTGGAAAACTCCCAGCAGCGATTGGTCCTTGATCTTGGAAGTCGTCTCTGGTCACTCCTGAAAAGTTTCCGAATGTCTGTCGGCTTTTTGAAAACCCGTTGATCCAGCATTCTGTCGGGAAAATAATGAGCACTATCGCCGCCGAGAAAGTGAATGGCGCCGCGGCAAAATCAACCTGCTTTTCACTGTAGCGACGCTATCGGCGTAGCGGCATTGTGCTCATTTTTTCCCCACAAAAGTGTTTCTTATCTGCTGTCGGGAAAATAATGGGCGCAATGTCGCTGCGCCCATCGCGTCACTGAAGTGAAGAGCAGTTTGATTCGAGGCAACTTATTTATTTTCTCGGCTTTTCGATGCGATATTGCGCTCATTATTTTCCCGACGGACTAATAGAAGAGCCAAAGGTCTCCGCATGTTTTCGTACGGTGCTATCGGCGTCACAAGGGACTTTGCGCGACAAACAATCGGTAATACGACAAGCTTCCGGCTCGAAGGCTCACATTGCAAACATTTCAAGACTTTTTGGCCTGCCTAGTACAGCATTGCGTATACTGGAGTGCTTAATACGGAAAATAATGAGGATTTATCGCGTCTTGAAATCTTCCATCACGGCTAGCCGCGGCTAAAGATTTGATGCGCAACTGCAGTGAGACGAGACATTTTGCTGCGGAAAATCCATCTTATTTTCAGGACAGGCTCATATTTCCAGAAACCTAAATAAAATCTACGTTAATACTCACTGTCCTTTTCCCACAACTGAACCGTCCCGCGCACTTCGTACGGGTTCTTGTAATTACAAAACACCCGTCCTCTCACCCACCAATCCTCCGCATTCGCGGTGGAGAGGCAGTAGAGCAACAAAACACCCAAGATCATCCGAATTTCAGGCTGATTGAATTAAAGCCGAAGCCCCAATTCTTATAAACTGTTTCTTCTAAACTGCGATAATTGGAAAATTGTATATTGCTTTATCTGATTAGGGCTTTGTAATTTTATTATGGATAAACATCGTACGTGCGTAATTGAAGATGTTTTTTCGTCTGTGCGTGGAAAACAACATGAAGCCGATAAAGTTTTTTATTCATTAGAAGCAGCACTCTGTAACGGTGTTCACTGATGTTTGCAAGAAATCCTGCAGACAAGCTCCATTTTGATTCGTATTCTAACGCGAAACGAGTGCAGCAGTTCAGTCGCTAGTTTCTTTAGCTTCAGTTGATTTGTAATCAACGCTTTCTTCTGGTTTGTCCGTTTCTTCGACCGCCGTTGCAGTCGTCGCCTGCGGATGGAGAAGTCTGTCCGACTGCGTACATCGCAGTTGGGTCTCCGTCGTGGAATCCAGATCAAAGTCGAGCCAGATTTCGGGCTTGCCAGGCGGGTTGAAGCGAGACCGCGAAATGGCTTGGCATTCCCTGGCCAGCCTCTTCCCTTCCGCACGGAGGCCTTTGTGACAGTCGTGGAAGATCAGCAAATACGGCTCGGAACCGTCGAAAATGGCAGACTCGGAAAAGTTAAGCCCACCAAACACGTTGTCCTTCAAGGGGACTTGAATCATAAAGCCACTGGAGTCAACGTCGTGGTCCGACAGTTGAACAGTCCCGGATGTATGGCCAGACGGCCCATCCAACTTGCATTTGACTCTTCCCGCAACCGTGAAGTCAGCACTTTGCGCAACAGTAAGGAACACATAGCAAAATAAAAGAAACTTCTGCATCCTGATTCAAACCCGAGCCGATGACCTGTTTTCAAGTTTTCTCAAAATATTTATAGGCGGATGTAGTAAAAATACTTTTCAATTTGGTAAATTCCCGTTTCAAGTATTAACATTCCCTCATCAATCAAAAATTTCGTAATCTTAACGATTCATTTAGGAAAAAACACTTCGGAAAGAGCAGTTGAAGACAAAAAACACATTGAAACAGATGAGTCAGAGAAGATTTACATCCAAAGATCACATATAAGTTCAAAAAAAGACGAGATCAAGAGCGGTAACGTAAATTATTACCCGAAAGACCCGCAGCCCCGGTATTATTACCTAAACCACAAAAACAAACCCTTATTTCGCTTAAAACTTATTATTAGTAAAGTAAACACCTCGTTTTCCCGAAAACAGCAAATAATTGTTACCAAAAAACCCCAAGAGTTTAGAAAATTCCATGAAAAGAGCGCGGAAAAAAGAAACAGTTGTCCAGAGTAACACTTGACCCGCAACTTTTTCTTACGAAATTTTCTCGAACTTTGCGCAAAATATTTTTTTCCTCTCCACCAACTTGTTATTCCCTATCACCTCACGGCTCACCATAGTTCCCAAATGTCAGTAAGTGGTTTTAGACATGAATTTCTTCATTTTTTCCAGGACCTCCCAAAAAACGCGCGAATCCCAACCAGATACCGCAAATATTATCCCATGCAACAAAATTAGATCCTATATCCCCGCGAAACTACTCGAATCCAGGGGGAAGCGGATAGCCAAAGGTTTTAAAATCGTGGTAGAACATTCGGACCACCTTCTCCATGAGATAAGGCGAAGACTTCAAACGGTGTTCGAAGAATTTCCTGGCATTTGTGTTGGAAGTAGCGTGGTGGGTGCGCTCTTTCATTGCGACGTTTTTGATATAATCCATAGCCTGTTCCGAGACATTCTTCGAGTGCAGAAACTCCAGGACGCGGGGCATAAAAATCGCGGGTTTAGAGCTGTACTTCAGGACAGTGTAGTCCTGAAATCAAGTGTCAAATTTAATGCTTTATCGCCGGCTTAAAGTCAGGAAAACCCTTGTTTGGGATAAAAATAATGGAACTCGGACTTTAAAATTGCAAAACTTATAGGTATGTTTGAAATCGAACTTTTTTTAGGGCCGTTGTGTCGTCGATAACCCGACTAAAAATTACAGATTATGATCGCCTCAAGCATGTTATAGGGAGTACTAATGTTGGACTTAATCCGTTTTCGACGAAATTACTACAGTAACACAAGAGAAAAGGCAGATTAACGCGAACTGCCAAACTGTACGAAATCTTATAAGGACTAAAAGCAGAATGTTCTCTGTTTTAGCCAGAGATTCGCATAGGGTACAGTAGGGCCATCTTAACTTTATACATTAGCTTGGGAAAGAAGTCGAAAAAGTCTAATCTCTAATCGGGATTACAATGTTTTTAAAGGCCTTTCGGCTGTTATTCCCGAAAAGGCTGGTATATTCGAGGAATCAGAATTTCGAAAAAACGAACTACTGTAAACAAGCGTCATCATACAGAACGAAAGTGTCATAGGACAGTTGTTTTGAATGTAATGCGGCTGATCCTAGATTCAAAGCTCTGCTATAACAAATACTTGGTTTTTGGGTCGCAAATCTAGACTTACTTTCAAATACTTATCCATTCCGCATCTCCATGTCTGCGGATATTGATGGTGCGACAGAAAGTCGACCGTAGTTTGTTCCCCACTGCTCAACCTCATCATCTCTTCGTACTCTTTCTCCACAAAACAGGTTAAGTTTGCACCACAGCCATGGCAATACCGTGTGCAATTGGTGGCAAAGTCCACGCCACGAACGCACGCGAAGACGAAGCCGCTCAAGAACCGATCGATTGGCTCTCGCACGACTGTAAGTTTTGTCCATTCATTAACTTCAGGGCCATGAATTTGAACCGCATGCTCAACCGACTTGACTCGATGTTTGGAACAAGCGCTGAAACAAGGATCGACCTTCCACCACCGAGAAAAGAACACCAAAGGATAGACGGATTATTATGCTCCTACACTATTATTATAGCAGACGCCATCGCCTTCCATTATTACCCTCGACAAACTTACGGTCCGTAGTAATTGCCGAACATCTCTTTGCCGCTGTAAAAAAAGCCAAGCTCATCGTTTAGCAGGCACATTATCGCCGTCATAAGTTGTGAGCTGGTCTTCGGAATCGTGCACATCAGCGTTTTCTTCGGTTTTAGAGTCTAAAATACAGCTTTAGGTGCGGGATTTGATTACCCAATAGTACTGGAAGTCCGATTCGATTGTTTTGAAGGGCTTCACGCAATTCTTCGCATCCAGTCCTTGACAGATGCCTTCGAAACGTTCCACAGAGGGCTCTGGAATTGGGTCTTCGTTTAGGGACAATGTTTGGTTCCATGGTATACACTGTGCATTACAGTACCGTCCACTTTTTTGTTTCATACTGTCAGTCCGGCGGATGGAGCAATCATCACCAACTGAAAACATTTTTGTTTTTTGGCGCTTTTATCAGGTTGTCGGGAAAATAATGAGAACTATGTCGTTGAACTATGTCCTGCTCTTACCGTACGAGGTGACTACGGCGTCGTCTTCCTGCTCGCTCTCCGAATGCCTTCCAAGTCCACTCCACCATCGCACAATGTCCAAGAAGAGTAGTATCTCGAGCAGTACCAGCAATATGGTCCTATTCCCGAACGACCAATGCAACCTCCTCCTCATCATCGTCTTCACTGTGAACATGGCCCGCGTTCGCCTCTCCACCAACTCGCTCTATGAAGCAGCCATGTTCTTTATAAAGCGATCATGTTTTTAGATATCGTTGCGAAACGGCGTGAAACTTTGTCCTCCGGCGTCGGTTGCAGTGCCCAACCGGATTTGAAACCCGAAATTGAACAATCTTTGCAATTTTTTCGTAATCCGAGCTACTTTTGGGTGGGGTTAACTGTCTTTCCGAGCGGCTTTCCTGAAGATGCGCCCTCCAGAATCGTCAAGATTTTATCGGCCGAAAAGCCAGTGAAGATGTTCCGAAGCGCGCGGATCTGATTGGAATGGCGTCTTCTTCGGGAACCGGATTCGGTGGCGTTGAACGCGCGAATTTGTGGATTCACTGGACTCTAACCGATGTTTGCATTTGCAAGAGATTTTGCGCCCGCTGGAAATTTTTAAAGAGCGATAATCTGGCAATCATTATGTCGGGAAAATAACTAGCACCTAGTCGCATCGAAAATTAGCCGCCGAGAAAATGAATTGTCGCGGCAAAATCCAATTGCTTTTCAATTCAGGCTGAATTTAAAATCGGTTACAAACAGTGCGATTTCCATTTCTCTCCTCGTCGCAGTCGCGCAACAAATATCCAGCTAGTCGTCGCCAAGCGAAGATGGGCGATTTTTAGGCGCGGCGGAGCCACATTATTTTCCCGACAGACTGATATATCAGTGAGTCGGGAAAAATCGGCGCGCGCCGCATCAAAAATGAAATAATGAATTGTGAAAAAAAACAAAATCAATTTGTTTTTTACTTCAATGGAGCGACTGTTGAAGCAACATTATGCTTATTACTTTCCCGACAGACATAATTATAAATTGCAATAAAATCTCCTTGTTTACCGAAAAGTTTTAATCTGGCGCTCCGAGCGATCTCTGACGGGTTGCGTAAATCCCCAGGAAAGACTTCTTAACTCACTCAAAGCGTTGTACAGTTTTATAATTTTCTACTTTGAGGATTGGCTTCATCTTCTTAAACAAATCCCGCTTATAATAGCGGTTAATTCGCCGGTTATACTTCTGGGAAACCGTGTATAAAATTGCTTCTCGCTGGATTTTCAACTGAAAGATCTTTATCCAGCCCAAAAATAGCGCGCGTCTGATGTTTTCTATCAAAAATGTAAGCGCCCTTTAACATCGCCTTTTCCGCAAGCGTCGCAGGGTCGGCTGGGCAAAAAGGTCCGCAGAAAGAGAAGCTGCAGAACGAGGGGAAACGAAGAATCGTAAAACGTTACAGTATTCCTACAGTAAGTCAAGAATTAAAGATTTTACCTGCCCATCTTGATATATGAGTTACTAGCTAACTTTGGTATGTATAGTATAACATACCACGTCTCTACTGTAACGTTTTGTTTATATGCGCAAGGCACATCTGAAAGCTCGAGTAATCAATGTACTAATTGGTTTTATTATAGGTATTGCATATACATACAATATAGGAAGTAATCCTTTGGACAATCTGTTTGCCAAGCCGTACAAGCGACATTCAAAAATAACTGTACTGGCCCTTTAAGACGATTAAATATTCGTGTATTTTTACGATTTAAGCCGATGTAGATGCAAGATGTTGCAGGCAAAAATACTGTAACCAGCGTCGAACATTGCCGTCAGCGACGCATGTCAAAAAAAGTGGAAAAACAAGGAACCTCGGATCATTGATTTTTGACGAAATGTCGCCGAATTATCGAGTCACAAGAGAAAAAAACTTTCCCAGAGAAATTCTTTTTCGAGAAAATTATTTTTTCGAACAGAAAAACAGTTTTTCGAACTCGATAATTCTGTGGCATTTCGCAAAAAATCAATGATCCGAGATTCCTTGTTTTTTCACTTCTCTGAAAGATTTTTTTTGACGTGCGACGTGGCGGTGCTCATTATTTTTGAGGCTTTCCCATAAAAAACAAATTTAAAAAGTCGAAAATTCAAATGTGTAAAATTTTATGCAAAAAAATCGCTGTTACAAACAGTAATCAGCAATTATCTTCATTCCGGCCGAGATGCGGCTTGTACAGGTCAAGATGTTCGATGGAAAACGTTTTGCCAATCTTTACATGTGCTCGAGGGATGGGAATTGTCAGCTTGCGGGCGCATTTCTAGACGAATTATGCAAATTGTTTGCTCTTCTTACCGGCTTGGCTCCACAGGTATGTCGTATGACGACGTATGGATCAAAACCAAGGAGTATGGAGTTGGTGCTTCCTGTGATCAGGATGTTTCCGGTGTTTCGGTCGTTTTCTTTGCGGCTTAGCAACTTGTCACTACCAACTGAATTGGATATTTTAATAACAGCTATAAGTCTGTCGGGGAAATAATGTGGGTTTGTTGCAGCAAAATATCTTATTGTACCAAAAATCTATCCGCGGATTGCCTTCTTGAAGTGATGATGGGGGGATTTTAAGGCGCGATGAATCCACATTATTTTTCCGACAAACTGATATGTTGTTAATGGTGATGTAAACATGTAAGTATAATTCAATTTTGCAATATTTCATCAAAGTCTTTTTGCCGAGCTTGAAGCACTTTTCCTATCAGACTGTCGGAAAAATATTGAGCACAATTTCGCTGCGTCGATCGCTGAATTGAAAGCAATTTGATTGTGCCTTGACCCAATTCATTTCCTCGGCGATGCGATTTTCGATGCAACAGAGTGCTCATTATTTTCCCGACAAACCTCATCCTCACTCACCTTTATATCGATCCCACAACTCAACTTGTGCCTTGTCTTTGTAAACCGGGCATGGCCTTCGAGTCCCCGAACAACATTCCACCTTGCCGGCGACGGTCACCGTATACGTCTTTCCACTTGCCAACGGCACCAGCAACGCTGTGCAGAGCAGTAAAACCACTGCGCTTTGCATGCTTCTCCACTCGCGGAAGAAATCAGGCAAATGTATTTTCAATGGAATGAAAATCAAAGGCTCGGCGAACAAAGAAAACTGTTTAAATACCAGCCCTTTATCGCCGTTTCCTTAGGGCTTTAACCGACAAATCGAGGGCAAATCAGAGCTTTCAGCGATAAATCAATGGAAATTTATCACAAAATAAAGAGGAATATGACGATTAACTTTGCATTCTTTGAGGAAGATTGTAAAAAAGGGATAGGTGAAAAGCCGAGCGAGAGGTGTGGTGATCCGCTTTTTCCGAAAGCCGAGAGCGAGGGAGAATCTGCTAGAACACGGGACTTGGTGTGATACAACAGGGCGGTTAGTCATTCAAGACCGCTGCAACGTCATTTGTATTTTGTGAGCAAAAAAGAGACGTTATATTTTAATGGAACTTTGACAAATGAAGGTTGTCTTGGGAGGTGTGGGTGGAAAAATTAATGACACCAATCAATCTTATTTTTGGTCTATTGGCATTTTCATAAAGTTTATGAACGTTTTTTTGCCTTCGCACAGTTCGTGCGTTTTTCCCTCACAAACAGAGCTTTTTTGAAAGCGAAGTTTTTTCACTTAGAGAGGGAAGCATTTTGCCACATTTTTGATATTCCCGGATGCAAAATGATACGTTTTTTTGCCACTGGATCAGGTCCCCTCGCTGTATTAACGAGCTCTTCGATTTATAACTATTTTCAAAATTTATTAAAAGTCAAAGTAATTTACAGAGTATCCATGCGAATAAGTAATACAAAACAACGAATAATCATGTTAGTAGTCATACATGGGAGGAATAATGCGTTCATTCTTCGGTGTTGTCGTTCTCTCGACGACCGCCGAATGTGCAGTCGAGATTTCTGAAAGAAAAAAATTAGAAATTTGTAAAGGGAAGGGGCAAAATGCAACGGATTTCAGTCGAAATTTTTGAATCGCATTCCAAACGAAACGTCTACTAGTCTTCCCGGAAAGTTGCTGTACCGAAATCGGCCATACGCACTGTGCAAAAGCAAAAGGTTTCTTTGCACTGTGAAATTTCTTGCTTTTTGCACCGTGCAATAGACTTTTTTTCGGCTGTCGCTGGAACCTTAACATTTTCCGCACAGTGCAAGCTCCAAAAATCAGACCGGCGACTTGCCGGAAGGACTAATGAAAAGAAAGGCTAATACAGTGAGGGACCTGATCCAGTGGCAAAAAACGTATCATTTCGCATCCGGGAAGTATAAAAAATGTGGCAAAATGCTTCCTTCTATAACTAAAAAAACTCCGTTTTGAACTGCGCGCCCTTTCCTTCACAAAAAGAGTGGGCGTGGTTTTGAAATCGGAGTTTTTTCACTTGGAGAGGGAGGTATTTTGCCGCATTTTTTGATACTTCCCGGATGCAAAATGGCATGTTTTTTGCCACTGGATCAGGTCCGCCACTGTAGGAGAAGCACTCCAAGTGCGACGCTCAGATTTTGATGAAAATTGGCGCAAATTTAGAATATTTTTTTCTAAAATGAATGCGAGGATCCTAGCTCGCGCTTTGCAGAAACAATCGGGGTTTTTAGATCGAAAGCCGGCGAAAATTTAGGACTTTTTGCCGAATTTCGGCACGAAAAGTTTCATGCCTGTAAAGGACAATGTTTCTACAAAAAATTAAATTTTTCCGCACGGGACTGCCAAAGTTATGGCCAAAAAGCGCGTTTCTCTCTGACCGCTCTCCACGTTTAGCGTGCTCTCTCGGCGGCAAAAATCGTTCGATATCTCGGCGGCGCCCGGAAAGCGCGAGCTAAAACTTTCAGGAATTGATATTTGGTCCATACCCGACGTGTTTGCAGAATTTAAAGAAAATCTGAGCGTCGCACTGGGGGTACTTCCCCTGTAAGGTTAAAGCAACACCTACTTCACGCCGGCCTTCTCCAGGCAATCGCAGGTCTCGTATCGACGAGGCTTCTTTTTCTTGTCACAGGCGGCGGTGGCTTCTTTCCACTCATCGGCCGGTACTCGCTTGGTGCCGCATCTGCAACAAAATGAGGTTAAAAATGTGATACTGCTTTCAAAGCCCGATGACGGTGAGTTACAGTTACATATTCAAATTTTATTCGCTTGAAGAGGAATTTTCTGACAGTGGAGCCTCTAGAAATCGAACACGAATCTTGGCTTTCAGTCTGTCGGGAAAATAATGTGGATTCGTTGAAGAAAATGTTTTTGCCTCGTCGCAGTCGCGCATCAACCGTATATGGAAGTACTAGGCGCAAAAAATCCATATTATTTTCCCGACAGGCTGATATAACAAACAATTTGAAAGCCGACGGAGGTCCAACAAAAAAGTAAATGGAATGATTTTCATGATTTTCAACTTACTTCAGTTTTCTCGGACAATTTCCTGGCTTCTGGAAGCGATGCGAACAAGAGTTCATGCATTTGGCAAAGTGCTTTCCTGAAAAAAACGGAATTGTATAAATATTAGTCTGTCGGGAAAATAATGAGCACAATATCGCTGCGCCAATCGCGTCGCTGTAAAGAGCAATTTAATTTTGTCGCGACACAATTCATTTTCCCGGCGGCGATTTTCGATGCGACGGAGTGCTCATTATTTTTCCGCCAGATTGATAAATGTGGCACAAATAAAAAATCCGTATTTTACCCTCCACTTACCGCTCTTCCCGAAATGTTTTTGGATAAAGGCGTGGAACTCGGCCTTGTGATGTTCCCTCTGCTTGTGCTGATTTTTCTTGTTCTCCTTCCTCTCTTCGATGCTCTCACTCTCGGCGGTGCTGCTCTCCACATGTTCGTGGTCGGAGGTGGAACCGTCTGTGACAACCGTGGAGTTATCCACACTTCTGTGCCTTCGATGAGGATGGCGCTTGTGTCGGTGCTCATTGGTCTCGTTGACATTGAGATATTTGCCAGGCTCGTTGTCGCAACTAAAGAAAGAGTTAGTTCGTTTTGAAGAAGACTAGAAAGTTGCTACTAGTCGTTCCAGAAGGTGCGTGCACTTTTTGTCGTGGGCCGCACTGTGCACAAAATTGCCTTCTTGCGGGGTGCATTTGACCTTTTGCACCGTGCAATTGCAATGTCGCAGCGACGTAGGCTTTTCTCAACGGAGCCGGCGCGAATTTTTAGAAATTGCACAGTGCAAAATGTTTCGAAAAGGATCGCGTCGCGCGGGGAACACGAAACTTGCACTGTGCGGTCCGAAAAAAAGGCGGAAAAAGGTGCACGCACTTTCTGGAACGACTAGTAGCGTGGGAGATTTATAAGAAAAATGTGTAAAGTTCGACGCTCAAATTTGAAAGAAACTTGGGAAAGCCTACATCAATTTTTCTTGAACAAAAAACAGTCTGTCTGAAAAATAATGTGGATTTGTCGCAGGGAAAATTCTCGCGTTGTCCCAGCCCGTTTAAAGCTTTAAAATCACCCGTCGCAAAGCGATAATGGGAGATTTCAAAGCGCGAAGAAGCCACATTATTTTCCCGACAAACCGACAAAAGTTCGTTCGAAGAGTCGCTGAGGTGATTTTAGCCACAAGAACTATCAGTCCGTTGGAAAAATAACGGCGGGTGGTCGCAACGAAATGTCTCATCTCGTCGAAAAGAAGGGTGCTGTCACGCACCAAATTTCCAGCGGCGGCTCGCCCCCGCAGAAGCGATGAAAAGCGATACCGAAACGCGACAATCGGCCGTTATTTTCCCGACAGACTGATATGCAATAAGGGTGAAAAAAGTCGCAGATCGAAGAAAGGTAAACTTTTGTTTTCTCGCTGTTGCCGAAATCACTCCAGCGACTTTACAAGCTGACTAGTACAATATCATTCCGTCGGGAAAATAATGTGGCTTTGTCGCAGCAAAATGTGTCGCTTTGTGGCAGTCGCACACCAAATCTCCAGCCACGGCTAGCCGTCACAAAGCGATGATGGGCGTTTCAACGCGCGACGAATCCACATTATTTTCCCGACAGACTGGTTTTGTTTAAGAAAAATTGATGTTGGCTTTCCCCAAGTCTTTTCCCAGTTAAGGCAAAATTTCCTTACGTTTTTGCCAACGCATCTTTCAGACACTCATCCCGATCGGAAGTTTTCTTCGTCATCAAACATTTCTGGCCCTCCTCCTTGTCCCAATCCGCATTCTCCAGTTTCTTGATGCACTTTTCCTGACATTTCAGGAGTGGCTCAAGATTGCTTTGACGGCATTCCTCCAGCTCCACACATTTGCATTGACGAATTTGGTCTTTTGGTCGACGAGCATCACAAAAATTGGCAAAAAGTAACGGGATTAGCAGTAAAATGGCTAATTTAATCATTTTGCAGGACGTTTTTTGGTCTACACCTGAAATTTATGACTAAATTAGTAATAAATCTGCAAGGGAAGGGAGTGAAATTTAAACGGGAATTACGCCAAGGGTAAAACTCAGATTTTCGGTAAATTTTTCGGTCATTTCGGGCATGTGTTACATATCACTGGCTGAAAGTTTTAGATCAAGATTTGCATAGACGGCCAAGATATTCAACCACCTTTGTCGCCGAGAGAGTACGCAAAACTTGGAGGGCGGTCGAAAAAAAATACTTTTTGACCATATCTTCGCCAGTTTCGTGTGGAAAAAATTGATCTTTTGTGGAGACATTACACACCACGGTAGAAATGGACATGAAATTTTTCATGCCAAATCTCACAAAAAAAATGTAATTTTTTGCCAACTTTTGATCTAAAAATTTCGGTAATTTCTGCAAAGCACGAGCTAACAGTCTGGTATATATTTTTTCAAAAAATCTTCTAAATTTGCGCCAACTCTCATCAAAATCTGAGCGTCGCACTTGGAGCACTTCCCTTATAAAATACAAATCGAAAAATCGCGAACAATCGAAAAATCCCGAAAATCGCATACCATTAACCAACTTTTTATTCGAAAGAAACAAGTAAATAACCCGATTCTGGACTATTAAAAGAAGTCGCGAGACCAATTTCGATATTCGATAGACTTTCTTTGCCCCGCGACAAAAAGCTGTGAAAACACTCTCGAAAACAACCCAAAGGTCAGCGCGAAGGAACGGTCAATGACTCACGCGGATGGTGCTTCGTGCGGATGTAGCGCGAAAATGGAGGCTTAATTAAAGGGGAGGTCAGTGACGAAATTGTAAGACTTTGGTATAAGGGACTTTCCACAAGTGGGTCGATTAGATTTTCTTTCAATTTTGTCCCAAGCCGGCATAGGCCGCATAACGACGACTGAAAGTTTTAGGTTCCGCTTTGCATCCGCAACCGAAATATTCAACAATTTCGGCGGCCAAAAGAGCACGGGAAACCCGGAGAGCGGTCAAAGAGGAAACTGTTTTTGGCTATATCGCTGTTAGTTTTGTGGAAAAAAGATTACGCTCTATGCTAGAGATAGGCATGAAACTTTCGATGTAAAAAATATAAAGAAATGACATTTTTTGCCAACTTTGGACCTAAAAATCTTGGTCGGTTTTACAAAACACGTGCTCGAAGTCTTGCATATGCCCTAGAAAACGTTATTCTAATTTTGAGCCAAGAATAATGAAAATCTGTGCATCGCACTTGGAGTACAGTCTGTCGGAAAAATAGTGGCGGGTTGTCGCGCCTTGGAATCGCCTATCATCGCTTTGCGCTTTTTTTAAGGCTAGCCGCAACTGGAGATTTGGTGAAACTTTTTGCAGCTACGACCACCACTATTTTGCCGACAGACCAAAAATATCCAAAGCTTTACATAAAGCCTTCACAAGACCGCACCGTTGTCTTTACAGTCATCTTATCCGCCCGAATATCCCTCCACCTCCAGCGCATATCCCCCAAAAAACAGAGTCCATTTCGAATGCAGACTTTGGCTCCATTTTTCTGACATTTCGCGCGTCTTAATTAAAGCCTATTCATGCACATTACGGCCGTTCACATGGGCTGGAAGGAAGGGAGAGCCTGTCTTGAACCCATAGAATATTTTAGTGCTGCCCATGGGGCTATGGTGGGATTTGGTGGAGAATGGGGTAGATGATGGAAGGTGTGAGGCGGAACGACCGAGCTTCGAGGATTTTCCCACGAGGAACGATCTACATTTATTCAAATTTGATTGTACTTTCCTACGTGGGGCTTCCCTATAAAAGGACCTCCTTTCCACTGAATAAATCACTTGACTCTTGAGCGTCTCGTCATCGTTACTGGGTTGTCGGGCCTTTCGACAACTCATAAGTGGCGATCAGGCGACTCAGCGCGTGGAACGACTCACCGACTGCAGCGGCCGTCGACCTCCCAGCTGGTCGAACCCTCCCTGGTGGACAAAGTAAGTATTGGTGGTAGTATAGCCCCAAGGTGCTTAGAACCAGAGTGCATTTAGCACAAATAAGGCTCAAGTCCCTAAAGGATACTAAATCCTAGAAAGGGAAGCACGAGTACAGTACAGGAAGGTACAAAACTCGTGGATTGGCAAAAGTTTTCACCTAGAAAACATGCTAAAGTCAAGTCTGGTCAATGAAGGCCATTCTCGGAAGTGTCAGAACACTCGAGATTTCGATTGTCCAGAGAGGCAACGGAAACCTAGAAGGATTTCTAGGGGGACCCATCATGGACTTGATGCGGTTGACTCAGAATTGGAATATGATTCTGAATATTCGTCCGGATGTGACGGGATGCACGCCATTAGGCAGTGTGAAAGCGGACGGGAAGAGATCCCTCCGGTCAAGCTATGTGTCAGGTTAAATGACATGGAAATAGCTCTGGAGCTCGATACAGGAGCTGCCAGGACGGTAATACCAGAAAGGGTATGGAGACAGATTGGTCGTCCGGAAATTACCAGGTATACCGGGATACTTCAGGAATATGGCGTAGGTCCATTAGAAGTTATTGGTGCTGTGCGGGTAAATGCCAGCTTCCGGGGTCATCAGAAGATGACTGAAATAATTGTCGTGAGACGTCACGATTGCCAACCGACGTTGGGACGGGATCTTATGAAAGATCTCAAGTTGGACATGGGAAATTATGTCAACTTTTCACTGGTAGACTCCGAAGTGGAGGAGACAGGTACCAGGGGAACTCGGGAAAATGAGTTCAAAGGCAAAAGCCTGAAAAAAGGTAGTGACGAAACTCGGGAAGTCCATTGGATTAGAGTTGTCACGAAAAGCATGGATCAGAAGCCTGCAAAAGCCAATATTGGCGTCTCAGCCAGAAACACGGAAAGTGTTGGTGAGACCTACTCGGGAGATTCCAAATCTCAGTATTTTCCCCAGGTTGTTGAAAATAGGGGAGGGAGTAGAGGCCAAGGAAAGTGGCTAGGTAACCATGCCAAATCCACGGTAAGGTGGTCGGATTCTGAGAGTCTAGCAAGCTCTAAGGAATCGCGGAGAAAACCTAAGGTCTGGATAGACAAGGTAAAAGATGAGCTAGCAGCTCAAATCAGAAGCTTTGCTTCTCAGGGTAAGCCAATTGTGTTCTTTGGACCTAGGCACCATTCGGAAAGGTATAAGCCTTTGGCAAGAAGATACCAGAATGGAACCCAATGCGTCAGTGGAAGGAATGTGCCGTTGGAAGTTCAGATCCTCGATGGAAGTCAGTTCCCGGTCAAGTCCAGAATCTCAAGCCATCCAGAACCCAGGGAAGCGCGCATGCTCGTTCGATGGATGTGGAAGTGCCAAGCCGTGCCCGACTTGATCACTTGGAGGAGATGTGAGGCGGAACGACCGAGCTTCGAGGATTTTCCCACGAGGAACGATCTACATTTATTCAAATTTGATTGTACTTTCCTACGTGGGGCTTCCCTATAAAAGGACCTCCTTTCCACTGAATAAATCACTTGACTCTTGAGCGTCTCGTCATCGTTACTGGGTTGTCGGGCCTTTCGACAGAAGGTTTGGAAATACTGGGTGTTTACTGAATGAGTAAGGAGTGGGAATGAAAGAACGAGGGTAAAAATCAAAGTGTCACCGAGACTGACAAAGCCGTTGGATGCTCGGCGGACACTTGGCGGTGGCTCGGCGGAGACTCGGCGCAGCTCCCAGGACTTTCTACAAAATAAAAAAAGGTTGTAGAAAATGTCTGCCAGGCCAGGCAAAGCCGTTAGATAGTCGTCAAACGCTTGGCGTAGGCTCGGCGGAGGCTCTGTGGAGACTTGCAATACAACCACCTTTTCTAGTCTTATTGATAGCTATAGACAAAGAGTTAGTTTTCTTGACCGTGAAATATTAAATATCTGAAAAAGACCAAAAAACGAAGATCCGAGGGGCTTCTCTAGACATTATTGTAGTAATATATACATGCACTCGTAGCGAAAAACCCTGGGAATTTCTCTCAACCTCTAATGGTCACTACAGCGCTGCTCCGGTCGCGTCGCTGAAGGAAAAAGCAATTTGATTTTTCCGCGACACAATTCGTTTTATTGACGGCGATGTGATTTTCGATGCTACAGCGCCCTCATTATTTTCACGACAGGCTGATAAACTACTATATTCTATGACCTGATCAATCTTGTTTTCCCTACTGACTAAGCCTTCGCCTAGCCTCCCTCATACACCCGGCAAATCCATGCGGCGCAAAGTATTGTCAACCCGAACTTTCGTGACCCGAAGAGTCGTAGCGCCAATGTTTTATGCAAAAATCCGTGGGGTTTGAGCGACTCAATGCGGGGGAAACAGCTGAAACAACAATGACCGTTGGCCGCATAAGCTACAACTATGAGATCTAAAATTCGTATGTCGGTCTGTACTAATTTTGGCCCATTCCAGGCGTTTCATACTTTTATTCCAAACAAAGGGCTTTGAAAAGAAATTCCTTGGGCAGGACGACGGTGCAGGATATTTTTGCGACCTTGCACAGTGCAGAGTTGCAGAAAATTTTAAGGACTCTTTGCGGCGAGTATGACCAAAAAAATTCAGGTAAATAGTTGAAGATGTTCAACCTTGGTGGCCCAGAGACCATGGAAACGCATGTACACGTTGAAAGTATATAAAAGATCAGTCTGTCCGGAAAATAATGAGCACTTTGTCCCATCGCTGCCGAGAAAATGAACTGTGTCGCGACAAAATCAAATTGCTTTTCATCCCGACAGACTGGATTCCTGAACGACACTACGAATATGCAAGGTACATTGAGATGCTTGACCCAGCGCAATGCTCTAATTTTGCTGAAACTTTGCACAAATTTAGAACATTTTTTTGATTTTTTTGTACAACATATGCTACACTCCTATTAGTAGACTCTTTTAGTTTAATGACCGATATTTTAAGGTAAAAAAAAGGGACCTTGTTTCTAATTGTGGCACAAAAGGTTTTAGTTTCTATCGTAGGGGACCATTTTTCTCCGCACAAAATTGAAAATCAGTCTGTCGGGAAAATAATGAACACAAAGTCGCAGCGCCCATCGCCGAAGTGAAAAGCAACTTCATTTTGTTGTAACACAATTCATTTCTGCGATTTTCAATGCGACGAAGCCATTATTTCCCCGACATACTGCTAAAACAATTGCAATTTTTTTTTGAGCAATTGACAAAATTTCTCCCCAAACCCGGCAAAAACCCAATTTTTAACTCGATTTGCCCAATAAAACCTAATCCGCAGACCAGCGCTGTTCTCTGTACCGACATGAATAAGGAGCCAATATTCCACCATTTCCTTAATTTCATCAAGTCTAAGGGAACATAAGGGAACGGACTCTGGAATGCCCCGAGGGAATTTCGAATAAAACTCAGCTGTGAATATTTGAAATGAGCCCCACAGACACAAATCGTATAGTAAATTGCATGAAAAATTCAGCGAAAATATTATGGGTGTAAGTTTGCATAGTGCAACGGGAAAAGCTATGGGGAATGCTCGTGTACTGTGCAAGGTGAACCTCTAAGACCAAAAATAGTTTTAAAATTGACAATTAACTCAACACGCAAGCTTGGCATGACATTGACTGCTCATATGCCCGGTTTAAGACTACAAACAAGACGTAAATTGTGTTAAGATGACTGAATACTGAATGAACAAGGACTCAATTTGAAACAAGTTTAAAATGAACGGTAACTGGAATAAATGTTTCCCGAAAGAGCAGTGTCGACTAGAAGACCTTTTTGTCCAAATCTCGTGCGATTTTCGATGCGACAGAGTGCTCATTATTTTCCCGACAGACTAAATAAACAAGCAAGGACTTAAGACCTCCAATGGTTTGTACGAAACGCACGTCAAAAAGCCCGTTTATACCTCAGAAGATCGCGCTCTGAATCTCACTCAGGACAGTTGATCAGACTGTCGGGAAAATAACGACGGGTCGTCGAAGCAAAATGCCTCGCCTCGTCGCTATCGCCCACCAAATCCCCACCCACGCTAGCCGTCGCAAAGCCATGATGGGCGATTGAAAGGCGCGACGACCCGCCATTATTTTCCCAACAGACTGATATAGTGAAACCTCTATACAACAAACTCTCATACGACAAAACCTGGCAATAACAAGCAAATTCAGGCGTCGCAGGAGCCAAGCACAATCTTCGTAAAGATATCAGTCTGTCGGGAAAAAAATGGCGAATCGTCGCGCCACATAGTCGCTCATCATTGCTTTGCGACTGCAAGCCGTGACTTGGGATTTGGTGCGCGATAGCGGCGAGGCGAGACATTTTGCTGCGACGATCCGCCGTTATTTTTCCCGGCAGACCGATAAACTTGATCGCAGCAAAATGGCGTTCCTTCCGGAACGTCGGTAAACTGAAATCGGCGACATGCACTGTGCTAAAACAAAAATTTTCTTTGCACCGTGAAATAGGCTTTTTTGGGATGCGATGGCTTTTTCGCACAGTGCAAACGCCAAAACTCAGTCCGGCGACTTTCCGCAAAGACCAGCAAGACCTGGAGATGACAATCGGGTCGGCCCTAGATTTTAAAAAGCCCCGGGCCTCAAAAATTGGCCCGGCCACCTCTATTATGGCGTCGTTCATAATAGATGTGGTAGTCGCTCACCAAGTCATCAGCTAGTCGTTGCAACGGAATGATGGGCGATTCCAAGGCGCAACGAATCCACATTATTTTCCCGACAGACCGATTGACCGGCCACAAAATTTTGACATGATCCCAAGACTACGTTCACAAAAAAACTTGTCCACTTCTCGTATACGTGCAAAATTCACGGTGTACGCCTACCGCGCACAGTATGAATAAATTTAGAATTACAGGGCATTTCACGCTCTTTCAACATTTGGCCAAGTTTACCACTTTCTACTGCTCACTGTCCCTACTACTTACTCCTCGCCCCATTGAGTTCCCACTCCCATAACGGGTATTATCCGCTCTGCGGCCAAAGACTTTTCATTCCGAATTCCACTCAACTTTTTTTCGAAAACCAAACTTGAGCCGTAAGTGGAAGTGATGCCGCCGGGGAACTCCGGAATCTCAATGAGGTTGTTTTGCCATTCCTTCGAAGAAAGATGACTATATCAGCGGAGAGAAAATTAAAGTTTTATTAGCATTTTCACAAAGTGCCTGGACATTTCTTCGCTGTCGCACAGTGCATCTTGAACTTTGTCGCCAACGCACTATGGAAATTTCCGTTTGCGCACCGTGCAAACCTCAAAAAAGCCGATTGCACTGTGCACATTTTTGAGCAGCGGCGCAGTTGAGAAAAGCTGACGTCGCAGCGATATTTCAAATGCACAGTGCAAAACCAAAAAAAAGTCAACGGCACGGTGCAAAAAATCGCGCGCTTTTGTGCACAGTGCGCGCAGCGACAAATGTCCAGGCACTTTGTGAAAATGCTAATATGAGTTTGTCGGGAAAATAGTGGCGATTTGGAATCGTCCATCACCACCTCACGACAGCCAACCATAGTTGGAAATTTGGTGCGCGACTGCACCCATTTTCGACAAGGCGAAACATCCTGCTGCAAGGATCCGTCACTATTTTCCCGACGGTTTGATAGGCACAATGAAGCTACAACTCCTCCAAGAATACAGTGGGGGACCTGATCCAGTGGCAAAAAACGTACCGTCTTGCATCCGGGAAGGACCAAAAATGTTGCAAAATACTTCCCTTTCCAAGTGAAAAAAATCCGGTTTCAAAAAACGCGCCCGCTCATTTTGTGAGCAAAAGGGCGCGCCCTTCAAACCGAAGTTTTTTCACTTGGTTAGGGAATTTCGCCACATTTTTGATGCTTCCCGGATGCAAAATGGTATGTTTTTTGCCATTGGATAAGGTCCATCACTGTATATGATTGTTGCATTTAAAATTTTTTTTGTTAGTTATTTCGTCAACTCCCTCATGACCCTAAAATTTGTTGCGATGTCCAGCCACTATTTTCTCGGCAGACCGATAGTCGCACAATAGTTCTCACACATTTATCGCTAATGTCGTGCGCAAAAATTGTAGCAAACTCGCGGAAAAGTGCATGTCGCTAGTGCAACAAGACAATTGTGAGACATTTCCTTGACGGTTGCGAAGGAAAAAGGAAAGAGAAAAATTCGCTATGCAGAAGTGCCGGGACTCGTAATTTCATCAAAATGTTTCTAACATTTTGATGAAATCTATCCAATTAGCAAACCCTCGAGTCTCTTGTGAAATGCGCGGAATAAGAGTTCGTTCCTCCAAAACCCCTCAAAAAACAGACATAGTTTTTTTCCTTCCGGTTTCCCCTGAGGGTTAATTATCTTCTCGCTCTCAAATTATTCAGTTGTTTTTGTCCGCGGCGGGTGGAGAGCTGGGAATTGGATTTGATAAACAAAATACAATAAATGATTTATGGGGAGGCTTGTTTTCGGTTTGATTAAAAATCCAAAAACAAAGTTCCAAATAAAGACTTTCAAAAGGGGATAGCGTATTTTCATACACATAAGTATACCGGTTTGTCGGGAAAATAGTGTGCAGTCTATCGCATTGAAAATCAGAAAAAAATGAATTGTGTCGCGGAAAAATCAAATTTTTTTTTCACTTCAGCGACACGATCGACGCAGCGACATTATGGTCATTATTTTCCCGACAGGCTGATTCAAAAAAAAATTTTCAAAAAAATTTGCATAATTTGAAAAAAATCGCTAACAAAATTGCAAGACGCCAGAAATTTGAATAATTTCAAAAATCAGCATAAATTTGCATACCATCAAAAAATTTTAAATGAAATTATTTTTTCAAAATTTCAAAAATCCCCTCCATTTGCGAATACAGAATCATCCCAGACGGTCGGTCGACTTTTTGAAGACAAGCGGCGAGAACAATTCCAGAATGAGCGAATCCTGGTCTGAAAGCACGTCAAGTCGATCTTCCGAGCTCTCAAGCGGTTCTCAATTATTGAGGTAAGAAAAAATCTTCATTTTTCAGACTGTCGGGAAAATAATGAGCCCTCTGTCGCATCGGAAATTGTATCGGTGAAGTGAAAAGCAACTTGATTTTGTCGCGATACAATTCATTTTCTCGACGGCGAAATTTTCGATGCGACAGAGTGCTCATTATTTTCCCGACAGACTGATATCACCCGCTACACAAGGCTTCGTCTGACCCTATCTATTTAGCTCGAGCTGCCGCTCCCAATCTCGCATCCGTTCGCGTGTGAAGCGCGCTTCGGCTTCTCGCTCCAAAAGTCGCTCTCAAGACAATGTGTGCAGCAGTATGCCTAGTCGCTCCTGCACCGTCAGCAGCTCTAGCTCACAGGATCGCGCGGAAAGTCGAAGAGGACGTCGTGAGGAGAAGCGTGGGCGTAAAGTTTCCAAGGCCAGGTAAGCTACCGTTTGTCGGGAAAATAATGTGGATCCGCTGCGTCTCGGAATCGGGCTTTGCGAGGGCTAGCCGAGGCTTGGTGCGCTTCTGCGCCGAGATTTTTTTGTTGCTACAATTCACATTATTTTCCCGACATGCTGATAGAAAAATATTTCTATAACCGCCTCAAAATTTAATTTTTAATTCTCGCGCCCGAGAAAAAAACCTTGGATAAAGGTTTTTTTCTTGCGCACCGTTTTTTTATCTTTATTTCATTTTTATTTGTTTTGGAAAAAGTTCCTTATTTTGGCCACAACAAAGGTACCCCGCGAACTGCGCCCAAGCTTGGGCACTAAAGTTAGGAAAAAACTCTCGACCTAGCTGGCACTGAATTACTATAATAGCTCTATAGTTTTAAGGGTATCTACGAAGGCTGTGACGACTCATTTAGTTCCATACGGAGGCAATAAGTTTAGTTCCGGACATGTTTCATCGTATAAAGTGTAAAATCACAGGCTGCAGCCGTTTTTGAAGGGTAAGATGGTACGTAAAAAAGAAGGTACCTCACTAACTAATCCACTGTCCGGGCTTTGACAACGACGAATTGAGCGTGCACGCTAAATTTGGGCTAATTCTGACCAGTTTCCACAAAATTTTAATTTGTGGCCAAAATAAGGAACTTTTACCTTTTTTATTTTTGAGGCGCTTTTTTCGATTTTTTTGCCGCCTTTATCTAAATTTTTTTCATTTTTATTTGTTTTGATTATCTTCGAGCTGCGCCCGAGCCTAAAATAAATAAAACGGTTCTTAAGATTTAACGAAAAAAAATGTGGGTTGGCTTTCCGGCACAAAAAAAAATTGTACCAATTTTCAGCAAATCGAGCAGCAAATCAAGCCACACTCAGTCCATCAAGAGCTCGAGAAGCCAAGAAACTTCCAGAACTTCCAAAAGCTCTAAAGGCTCCAAAACTTCGAAAAGCTCCAAGATCCGCATGGTCAAAAGAGTCCGTCATCCAGAACATGCCAGTAGACTCATTTCGGAATTAAATGAGGATTGGCAAAACGCCAACCTGGACGCCTACACTGTCGCCATGTACCGCCGCATGTTTGCGGGCGCGCGGACTCCGCGCGAAATGGAAAAACTCTTGCGCCCCACGCAGTTCATGGTGTACTACAAGCGCGGAGAGCGTCCCTTCGACCAGCCGTTGGAGTTGCCGTTGTTTTTGGGCTACAAGGATAGTCATGATATGGTGGGTTTGGGGAGGGGAGAAAAGGTTTTTGGGATTTTTAAATTTTGATTAACAAGGGAAGCACCCCAAGTGCGACGCTCGGATTTTCTTTAAATTTTGCACACACGTCGGGAATAGACTAAATATCAATTCCTGAAAGTTTTAGCTCGCGCTTTGCAGGCGCCGCCGAGATATCGGACGATTTATGCCGCCCAGAGAGCACGCTAAACGTGGAGAGCGGTCAGAGAGAAAAGCGCTTTTTGGCCATAACTTTGGCAGTTTCGTGCGGAAAAATTTGATCTTTTGTAGAAACATTATCCTTTACGGGAGAAATAGGCATGAAACTTTTCGTGCCGAAATTCTGCAAAAAGTCCTAAATTTTCGCCGACTTTCGATCTAAAAATCTCGGTTGTTTCAGCAAAGCGCGAGCTAGGATTCTCGCATATATCTTGGAAAAAATTATTCTAAATTTGTGCCAAGTTTCATCAAAATCTAACCGTCGCACTTGGGGTACTTCCCTTGTAAATTGTGATAAGTATACTTGTAGACCCACCACTTCCCGGTGATCAACTTCAAAGACACATTTGGGAAACGTCAATGGACAATCGGCGCGTCCTTTGACATGCCCGGCGCCGCTTGCTGCAGCTTGGCCAGACTCTTGGAACACCACGAGATCTACTCGTTTGTCGACGACTCTACCGGCGATATTGATGTGTTCCCGGTCTGGCAGCTGCGGAATAGTTCGAATAGCAAGGAATAGGGGGCAAGGTGAAAAGGATGATATGGTATACTGCGTGTATGAAATATTGTTTCTGTGTGATCAGAATGAGATTTATGGAGTTTAGAGAGTAAATAAAGGGTTTAATAAACGTTGAAATTTTGAAAATAAAGATTTTTTTAACGAAAGAAAAAGGCGGAAAAAAAATTTTAGAGGTGATGGGTTCGATGTGCGACGCTCAAGAGCCGAGATATTCAACGTCTTTGACGCAACTACAGCCACATTTCTTTTCAAACCGTGGATTGCAAAACTTCCTTTTTCAGGCCCGGCGCTTCCCAGCTTGCGCCCTGGTTTCCCCGCAGACTGCGAATAAAAATAGGAAACATTATTCCTTGCAACCGGAATTGTTCGGGCGCACGCTGCAAAACCTTCTTTTCGCTGGGGCCTGAAAAAGGAAGTTTTACCAAAAATGTTGCTCGCGTGTAAAAAAATAGCTCTATCGGTCTGTCGGGAAAAAAACGGCGGATCGTCGCGCCTCGGAGTCGCTCATCATCGCTTTGCGACTGCAAGCCGCGGCTTGGGATTTGGTGCGCGATGACGGCGAGGCGAGACATTTTGATGCGACGATCCGCCGTTATTTTCCCGACAGACTGATAAATTTGCACCAAATTTACGATTAGTCAAAATCTGAGCGTCCAATTTTACCCCCTAATTACAGTCTTTGTAAAAGCTCAAGCTGGAAAGCTTAAGTCCGTTCGTAAAGTCGCTGGAATGTTTTTGGCGACATGCACTCCGCGAAACCGAAAGTTCACTTTGCACTGTGCAATTTTTGGCTTTTTGCACAGTGCAATAGGCTTTTCGAGCTGTCGCCCGCACCCTGAGTTTTTTTGCACAGTGCGCGTCGCCGAAATCATTCCAGCGACTTTACGAACGGACTAGTATGAGATCTCACCATTCTAGGGGCCTCATAATAAAAAGTAAGGCCCACCTCTCTTCAAGCGACCTTGTTCATGTACCCTTCACCGCCACTCTACTTCAGAAATCTGAAAAACCTATTCTGCGGATAAATTCCGGAACACCTCCCTCACCAAAAAAAAAGAAAAGAGAGGAAACCGAAAAAAGTTTTGGAAAAGCAGGTACGTTCTGGAAAGGAGATATCGAAAAAAACGAACAAAATATATCCGATATTTGGATGTTTGGGTTCAAAAGTTCGACGGCTAATTACTGCTAACAAGGGAAGTACTTGAAGTGTGACGCTCAGATTTTGATGAAACTTGGCATAAATTTAGAATAATTTTTTCTAAGATATATGCGAGAATCCTAGCTCGCGCTTTACAGAAACAACCGAGATTTTTAGATCAAAAGTCGGCCAAAATTTAGGACTTTTTGCCGAATTTCGGCACGAAAAGTTTCATGCCTATTTCAACTGTAAAGGATAATGTTTCTACAAAAAATCAAATTTTTCCGCACGAAACTGCCAAAGTTATGGCCAAAAAGCGCTTTTCTCTCTGACCGCTCTCCACGTTTAGCGTGCTCTCTCGGCGGCAAAAATCGTTCGATATCTCGGCGGCGCCCGCAAAGCGCGAGCTAAAACTTTCAGGAATTGATATTTAGTCCATACCCGATGTGTGTGCAAAATTTAAAGAAAATCTGAGCGTCACACTTGAAGTACTTCCCCTGTAAGTTTGAGAGAGGGTTTGGTGAACGAGGAAGGATTGTGGCAGCTGAGTTTTCACTGGCAGCTCAGCTTTTCTCCCAATTTTGTGTCTACCTGTCGGGTAAATAATGGGTACTCTGTCGGATCGACAATGGCATCGCTGCCGAGAAAATGCATTGTGTCGCGACAAAATCAAATTGCTTTTTACTTCAAGGAATTGGCGATGCGACGGTGTGCTCATTATTTTGCCGGCGGACTGATAGTCCGTTCGCAAAGTCGCCGGAGTGATTTTTGCGATATACAGGGTGGTTCAGCTAAGTTCGCGGATGTGAAATGCTTATAACTTTTTATAGGATTGTTCAATTTTTATGAGCAATAGCTCGTTTTATTCCTTGGTAGTTACCATTTTGTTTAAAAGAAAGATCGTTAAAAATGATCAATCCTACGTCGAGTTATGACCCTTCAAAGTCTTGGGTTTCTTGACAGACCCTGTAAATCTCCGTCCCAGACGCCGCAAAGCCATGGTTGGTGATTCCAATACGCGACAAATCCACATTACTTTCCCGAAAGACTGATAGAACAAAATTCAAAAAATTTAATATCATCCACCACTTCCCCAGCAAAACAAAAAAGACAGTCCAAATTATACTCTCTAACCTCATTGCCTCAGTGTCAAAGCAGTGGCGTCTCGAAACGAATGTCAAGCGGATAAGTGCGAGGCCTTTGATCCTCGAAAGTGAGGTCAGCAGAAGGAGGGATATCAAAAAACGTCTCTTTCGGCAAAAAATGAAGAGTACAGCAAGAAGAATGACAGGAATAGCAAATTCGCATCGCTCTTTGAAGGGAAACAAGTAATAATAATGCAGAAGTGCTCTAAAGGAGGCGAGCAAGTTCATGGCTCATGAGAATTAATTTGGAGGGCATTTCAACTAAATATTAGTCTGTCGGAAAAACAATGAGGACTCATTATTGCAGTGAAAATGACATCGCCGCCGAGAAAATGAATTCTGTCGCGTCAAAATCATGTTGCTTTTCACTTCAGCGACGCAAGCGACATTGTGCTCATTATTTTCCCGACAGAGTGATATTAGCATTTTTATAAAGTGCATGAACATTTGTCCTCACAATCAGGTGTCGGTTGCCCGCAAATGTCGGTTGCCCGCAAATGTTCCAGGCTGCCCGCAACTGTCGACCCTGCCCGCAAATGTCCCAGGCTGCCCGCAAATGCCGGTGCTGGCCGCAAATGTCGGCTGCCCGCAAAGTGGCTGCCCGCAAAAAATTTGCCCGCAAACTGGTTGCCCGCAAAGTGGTTGCCCGCAAGTGTGCGCCCGCCCTTTGAAGATAAACAAGTACTAATAATGCAGAAGTGCTCTAACGGCAGCGAGCAAGTTCATGGCTCATGAGAATTAATTTAGAGGGCATTTCAACTAAATATTAGTCTGTCGGGAAAATAATGAGTACTCTGTCGTAGTGAAAATCGCATCGCCGCCGAGAAAATGAATTTTGTCGCGACAAAATCATGTTGCTTTTCACTTCAGCGACGCAAGCGACATTGTGCTCATTATTTTCCCGACAGAGTGATATTAGCATTTTTATAAAGTGCATGAACATTTGTCGCACCACGCAGCTTGCATTTTGAACGTTTTCCCATGCTACTCGCCAACGCAATTTTCTACAGGGTGTTCAGAGAATTATGGAAAAAAAACTATTCATTAATAACTTTGCGCTCGGTGGTAAAAAAAAAATTTAGATTCTAAAAACTCCAACGTTCTTCTGCAAAATGCAAAAAAAATTCGGATTGGACCACCATAATTCTCTGAACACCCTATATTTTCGCACAGTGCAAACCTCGGAAAAGCTGTTTGCATTGCACCGTGCACAAAAAATCCCATTGTGCACTGTGCATTTCATTTCTTTATTTTTTGGTTTTTGCACTGTGCGGAGAAATATCTCTGCGATATAAGCGCGTTTCAAAAGTCACTGCGCCGCCGCCAACAATTTGCACAGTGCAAACGACTTTTTTGATGTTTGCACTGTGCAAAAACACAGAAAAAAAGTTGCACAGTGCGTTGGCGACAAACATGGGAAAAAGTTCAAAATGCACTGTGGAAAAGCAAAAACATGTCCATGCACTTTATGAAAATACCAACACTCAAATATTTATTTAAAAAATCGAATATTCATAGAACATTATTTAAGGATGCCCTCACATTAAAATTTTATTAAATTTACTGTGGAAATCTACAGCTGCTTTGCAAGACGAGCATTTCTTGGACAGCCCAAATAAGGAAGAAAAAAAATATCGGGCCAAATTTGTTGGTCCTTCCTTCGCCTTTGACCCGCCAGCAATGGGGCTTCCGTTTCGCGGTCGGCTTTGATTGACATCCCACCCGGATGACATTGATAAATTCATCCGAGGTTCCTTTCGGAGATGTCATCTTATTTTGTGTTTTTGCATTTCCTTTACACGCGCCACTCCGCAAAAGTAACCGGTTTATTGTCCGCAATGGAAGGTTGCATATGACTCAAATATAAATACATGGCAAATCCTGAGGAGTATCGTGGTAATATCAGGTTTTGGAGCATATTTCCAGAAGCAATAAATACATTGATTTAAAATAAAAGTTACCCATAGATTATAAAAAAAATCGAGTTTTCAAAATACTTTGAGAAAAGAGATCGCAAATAAGACTTTGCATATCAGTCTGTCGGGAAAATAATGTGGATTTGTTGCTAAAAAATGCCTTGTTTCATCATATCCGCCACCAAATTTCCAGCTGCCAATGGCCGCCAAAAAGCGATGATGTGCGATTCCAAAGAGTCCACATTATTTTCCCGACAAACTATTCAAAAAATTCCTATCATTTCACACAACAATCTACAGCATTGTGGGGCCATCCGCAGCATTCTGCTTGAGCTGCGCTTTATGGAATTTGGCGAACACATCGCATAATAGTCGACAAATGTCCTTTCGGATCGTCGGGTTGCACATCACGTAGATGAGCACACGCGCGCCACTCGTAAACATGTAGACGAAGGATACCATGTCCGAGAAGTATGTGTGGAAGGTTGAGGCGCGCGCCGGGTCTTCAACGTCGATTAGAAGGGGTGAGCCGGATCTGAAAGTGGAGGAGTAAGACTTGAAAGTGGGAATTTGTACAGGTGGGGCCTGATCCAGTGGCAAAAACGTACCATTTTGCATCCAGGAAGTATCGAAAAAATGTGGCAAAATACCTCCCTCTCCAAGTGAAAAAACTCAGATTTCAAAGGCGCGCTCGCTCTTTTTTGTGAGGGAAAGGGCGCGCCCTTCAAAACGAGGTTTTTTCACTTGGACAGGGAAGCATTTTGCCACATTTTTGACACTTCCCGGATGCAAAATGGTACGTTTTTGCCATTGGACTAGGTCCCTCATTGTAGTCTGATTTTTTTGGAATTGGCCGCTGAATAAAACGGCCAAAAAAGCAGTTTTATTATTGCTTAATCCTGCCCACCTTAAAAAATCAAAGCCTAGACCTCGGGGTAAATAGACCCAAAGAGAAAATAGTATAAATCCTATTTCTTACCGTTCAAGGATGGTCAACACAAGATGAAGCGAGTTACTGACCAAGTAGGACATTACAATCCCCAGCATTGTATAAATTGCGGCTCGCACTGCTCTGTCGGTCTTTCTGGACATTGGCCGGCCGGCTGAGATGGATCCCATGTCGTATTGGCCTGAAAAAGATGAAAAATTGTAGAGAATACTCGTTATTTCAAGGTGTAATCAGTTTTTTGGGAAAATAGTTAGCACAATGCCACTGGGCTTGTTTTGTCGCTGAAGTGAAAAGCAATTTGATTTTGCCGCGACGCAATTCATTTTCTCGGCGGCGATGCGATTTTCGATGCGACAGAATACTCATTATTTTCCCGACAGACTGATACGGCAACAAACAAGGTCTACTTACAGTGGGGACCTGATCCAGTGGCAAAAAAAACGTATCATTTTGCATCCAGGAAGCATCAAAAAATGTGGCAAAATACCTCCCTCAACAGGCGAAAAAAGTCCGATTTCAAAAGCGCGCCTACTCTTTTTGTGAGGGCAGTTCAAAACTGATTTTTTAGTTGGAGAGGGAGGCATTTTGCCGCATTTTTGATACTTCCCGGATGCAAAATGATACCTTTTTTGTCACTGGATCAGGACCCTCACTGTACAGTGCGTCCCAGGTTTTTGGTTCCACCCCATTTTTGATCATATCTCTGGCGGTTTTTTCTCAAATGCCATGAAATTTTACACAAGTGTTAACCAACCTTTGAGAATAAGCTATGCGAAGTTTCATCCCAATTGGCTTCAGTACTCTGACGTTATGGCGATTTTTTTAAAATTTTGGGTGTCCCAGGTTTTTGGTTCCACGTGGAAATTTGCGAGTTTTTTTGGTCCGGTTTTGAACCAACCTGCTCTTAATACTATTCATCTTGTACTCTGTAGTATTAGAAAGGGTATTACATTCGTATCTGCCGTACTTTTTCGACGGAGTGGCGCTATGAGCCATCTCCGACCTTGTACATGAGATAAAGATTGGTTTTGAAAAAAATGTCAGTCAGGCTGTTTTTTGGGCATTAAACTTGCCAATGCTGTTAAATTATACAGTGTGCATCTACTTAACGAAAAAAAGTAGCTTGATCAATGATCTCGAGTATTTTCTTGGCATATCATCTTCAAGAAGTAGCTACCGTAACACTTTATACCCCGTATTACCAAGAGGAATGGACGAGAATCACAAAATTTGATATGCAAATTTGAACGCAGCGTGCCTGAAAACGTAATGCTACAATCATTAGCCGTTTCAGAATATATCGGGTCTGTAAAGTTCGTTCTACAAAAAAATAGGCCAAAATAGGCTTGCTTTTACCCATTTTTCCTTGAACCAACCACCTGCGGCAGATAGAACATTTAAGCAAGAAATAAGATACAGCTATAGGTTTATTAACATGCTGAGTTTGATTTTCGGGGCAAAAAGTTCCCATAGATAGTAATTTTCTGTGCTTTTAGGGCCTTTGAAGGTTACTGTAGAAGGTAAACGGTAGCTTAAATGACTTAAAAGGTCGATTAAATGACTTCAAACTAATCGGTATCGGTTTGTTTTACATCTTGCATTTGGTACAAGTAGTCTAAGTTGTTTCTTGCGGGAAATAAATCACTAATCGGAATTTTTTTTTTAAACCAATGTTTACCTGATGTACAAGGTCGGAGATGGCTCGTGGGGCCACTCCGTCGAAAAAGTACGGCAGATATGAATGTAATACCCTTTCTAATACTACAGAGTACAAGATGAATAGTATTAAGAGCAGGTTGGTTCAAAACCGGACCAAAAAACTCGCAAATTTCCACGTGGAACCAAAAACCTGGGACACCCAAAATTTTAAAAAATCGCCATAACGTCAGAGTACTGAAGCCAATTGGGATGAAACTTCGCATAGCTTATTCTCAAAGGTTGGTTAACACTTGTGTAAAATTTCATGGCATTTGAGAAAAAAACCCCCAGAGATATGATCAAAAAATGGGGTGGAACCAAAAACCTGGGACGCACTGTATAGAGATCAACCCATAACTTGAGGGCAACTTACCAGTAGCAATACTAGCATTCCGGCTATACGCATACGACGGCACAAGCAGCGACGAAAATCCATTCGTCGCCAACTCCGCCTTCGCGCCCGAGCATTCGGACGGACTGGGCGTCGTGCAGAACGGAGTGCTCGCCTCCACCGAAATCGACATCCTCGCCGAGGGCGCGGTGCTCTGGCTGCGGACGCGGATCATCTTCCGCACCACCATCACGTTCAGCACGACCAGAACGACGAACGGCAGGAAGGTTTGCGCGACGCCGAGAATGTGGAAGTCGTAGACGTGATACATGTACGACTCGCTCGCCCACTCCGCCACGTTCGCCATTTTGGTGCGGAAAAAATCGGGACAGTCGGGGAACTCGTACACAATGATCGACCAGCCGAGCGGCAGGCGGAGCGCGACGCAAATCGCCAAGGTCGTTAGCATGGTGATGTAGCGGCCCCGACGGCTGAACATTTTTTTGAGGATTCGGTTTGCTCTGGAATGAGGGGGAAGTTAGCGATAATAGCGCAGAATATAGAGCAAACATGTAGGTACAAGCAGAGATTGCCACGGCTCCGGTGGCTCCGGCTCTGAGCGGCTTCGTCTTTAAGTCGGAAGCCAGGCCCCTCAGCGTCCAGTAAAGTAAAAATTTGGTGATCTTGTTAAACCAATAGTTTGAAAAATACTGGGAAGGATGTGTTGTGTCCTTATGAGTTGGCTCAAAAACCTTGGGTATGTCATCTCTGGCATTAATAACTTGTATTGTTGAAAAAACATTTTTTTTTAAAAAACTTTTGCACTGGAGGCGGTATCGGAGCCGGAGACTTTTTAAATTTTACAGGGGAACCGGAAGCCGAAGCCGCAAGTTTGGCCTCGGCTCCGGCTCTGGGAGCTAAGAGAGCCCAAGCCGAAATTTTGGCCGTGGTGATCTCTATGTAGGTACAAGCCTTTCCGAAAAGTCGCTGTAGTGAATTTCTCGACATTCACTGTGTGAAAACAGAATTTCTCTTTGCACTGTCCAATTTATTGCTTTTTGCACCGTGCAATAGACTTTTTCGGATGTCGCTTGCAGCCTCACTTTTTCGCACAGTACAGACGCCAAAAATTACTCCCGCGACTTCCGGAAGGACTAGTAATGTCACAACAAAGCAGTGTCCTTACAATGGTGAGGTGATCCAGACATATCTCTCCAACGTCGCAAAAATCAGCATGTACGGGATGGCGAGTTGGGTGATTCGTGCCACAACAAAGGCCGGGACGACATATGCGTGATAGATGAGGAATAGTGTCTGAAATAAGAGAAGATGTAATAGATTTGAACGTCATACTATTCGCGCTATGACGTCGGTAGAATTTTGCAGAGCGGGTTTTCTTTTTGCGGAGAGTAATACAGGGTGTTTCAAGAAATTCCGCGGAAAGTCGTCGTCGATTTCTCGGCGCTCAGCCACGATATCCAAAAAATTTTTTTTGCAGTAGAAAGAATGTAGTGGGCGGTTTTTTGCCTAAAAAGATTTTTTTCTACGCCGACGCGGAATGCAGTGTATTCGGCGGAGACATTTGATAGCTTTTTTGCCAATCCCACTTATCTCAAATGCTTTATTACGAATTTTGACGGTTCAAAAGAGGATGAATCTCGATGATTGAAGGAGGATTTGCATATTTCTATGTTTTTCAAGCATTCGGCGAAGGTATGGCGGACGCTTTCCATATCGGCGGAGGCCATAACTCATCTTCGGACAAAGACACAGAGCTGGGAAATGGCTCGAAATGATTCCTGTGCTCTGGTTAACACCATCCTTCATCATTTCTTATGAAAATCAAATTTTTTCTCAGTTTGGCGGAGGAATCGGCGGAGGCCATAACACATTTTTGAACAAAGATACAGAGCTGGGGAATTGCTCAAAATGACTCATGTGCTCTGATTAACCCCATCCCTCGTCATTTCTTATGAAAATCACACTTCTTTTCAATCTGGCGGAGGAATCGGCGGAGGTCATAACTCACCTTCGGACAAAGATACAGAGCTGGGGAATGGCTCAAAATGACTCATGTGCTCTGACTAACCCCAGTGTGGAGCGCATGAATCATTTTGAGCAATTCCCCAGCTCTGTATCTTTAACGAAAGATGTGTTATGGCCTCCGCCGATTCCTCCGCCAAACTGAGAATAAATTTGATTTTCATAAGAAATGATGAAGGATGGTGTTAACCAGAGCACAGGAATCATTTCGAGCCATTTCCCAGCTCTGTGTCTTTGTCCGAAGATGAGTTATGGCCTCCGCCGATATGGAAAGCGTCCGCCATACCTTCGCGGAATGCTTGAAAAACATAGAAATATGCAAAACCTCCTTCAATCGTCAAGATTCATCCTCTTTTGAACCGTCAAAATTCGTAATAAAGCGTTTGAGATAAGTGGGATTGGCAAAAAAGCTATCAAATGTCTCCGCCGAATACACTGCATTCCGCGTCGGCGTAGAAAAAATCTTTTTAGGCAAAAAACCGCCCACTACATTCTTTCTACTGCAAAAAAAATTTTTTGGATATCGTGGCTGAGCGCCGAGAAATCGACGACGACTTTCCGAGGAATTTCTTGAAACACCCTGTACAGTGACGGACCCGACCCAGTGGCTAAAAATTTACCATTTTGCATCCAGGAAGCATCAAAAATGTTGCAAAATGCTTCCCTCTCCAAGTGAAAAAACTTCGTTTTGAAGGGCGCACCCTTTCCCTCACGGGGACGCTTTTGAAATCGGAGTTTTTTCACTTCGAGATGGAAGCATTTTGCCACATTTTTTATACTTCCTGGATGCAAAATGGTACGTTTTTTGCCATTGGATCAGGGCTCTCAAAACCCCGCTAGCCTGTTGCAGATCTCTTACAAAAACATTCTCTGCCATCTTACCTTGCTATTCAAGTATACCACGGCAGCGTCAGCTCCAAACAACGCAATGTACATGACGCACATACACCAATCCAGGAACGCCAATACTCCCGGATACAACGTGGGCGGTGTGTTTGGCAGCTTTCTGGTGGTGAAGAACATGACGAGGAAGGCGTTTCCCAGCATTCCAGCCAACGCAATTATCGATGCAAAGCTGAGGAGCATGAAGCGGATCAATGTGTATTGTTCGTACTGAAAATAATATTAATTTGGCATAATTTTTAAAATGGTATGTAATATATGGTATAAAGGAACGCTGTTAGTTTCGAACCGGGCTTTTTACGGCTTGGGAACGAAATGTCAAAAACAAACTTCTTTGTCTACTGTACTCATTACAATAGGAAAAAAATCATAGCATTTTACATGCTTACAAATATCAGTCTGTCGGGAAAATAATGTGTATATGTCGCAGTAAAATTTCTCGCCTCGTTGTAGTCGCGCAACTAATTCCTGGCGCCCCTTGCCGTCGCAAAGCGATGATGGGCGATTCCAAGCCCGACAAATCCACATTATTTTCCCGACAGACTGACTAAAAATCGGATTGAAATTTCTGCAAAGGGACACTCGCGGTTTCCCTAATATTGTGGCTGGTCTAATAATTGATATTTGGAAAGGGCTGTTGCGGTCTGTCGGGAAAATAATGAGCACTTTGTTGCATGGAAAATGGCATCGCCGCCGAGAAAACGAATTGTATCGCGACAAAATAAAGTTGCTTTTGACCTCAGCGATATTGTGATCATTATTTTCCCGACAGAATTATTTTTCTGTTTGCGATTTTGTTGCCCTAGCTGTCGCTACAAGATATACAAAAATTTTTGTGAAATCTCACCTCTCCGCAAATCGGCTCCGCCTCCGCCGTTGTGATTGTGATGTTCTTCAAGTCCAAATAGTCGATAACTTCTTTGTCCATGGCGTCTGAAAAAACAGAAAATTGGGTCAAATCCTCTGTAATTGCCCGAATGTAGAAAACAAATTACGCGTCTGGATTTCGTTTGTCAATGGAAAAAATTAATCATTAGTAATTAGTGAGTAAAATTAGCAAATATGGTAGGGGAAATTAAACAAGGAAATTGGAAAGGGGTGATATGTGAAATCGTTGGGTTGAAAGGGTAAACATTCTCGATGAAGGAACTGTAAAAAGCAGAAAGAAAAAAAATTTACAGAGTATGTTGATATTACTGCTCTTTGCAGGCAGTAGTATCAGTCTGTCGGGAAAATAATGATCACTCTGTCGTGACAAAAATCGTCGCCCAGAAAGTAAAAATGTATCGCGACGAAATCAAAACTAGGCATGGCTCCGGGCCGGGCTTTGCAGAATTTTCCGGCCCGGGCTAATTTCTCGGCCGCCTCCGGGCTTTGATTTTTAGGCCCGGCCCGGCTTACACAATGCTGATAGCGAACGTAAAGTGATCTTATATATGTACCTAGGTTTAATGTCCCTAGGCTTAATATCTGTACCTAGGTCTTGCTAAATTTTTCTTCACGTTTTGCGAAAATTTGCCAAAATTTTCCTTTCATGTCCCGCTTTCTTTCTTTCCAGCCTAGTATAAAAATTTTCCGGGCCGAATCGGGCCGGGCTTTCCTAATTTTCCAAGCCCGGGCCGGGCCGGGCTGGCCCGGTTTGCAGCCATGCTTAATCAAAACACTATGATCATTATTTTCCCGACAGACTGAAGATTACTTTTCTGTTTGCATTTTTGTTGCCCTAGTTGTCGTGACAAGATGTACAAAAATTTTTGTGAAATGCCCTCTTACTGTGGCGGGTCAAACTTTCGGGCAACCACGGGCGGCCAAAAAAACCACGGAGATTCCGCTGCCATGATTAGAAATCAGCCAACGTTTGCTTACAACAGGAAATTCAATCGATCTATTTAGCAGTTAGATGTTGAAAACTAAATTTCCAGGTGTACAAGTGGCTTGAATAGTTATCATAAGGTTAACAAGGCATTTTTAAACATACAGAAAAAAAATTTTGAAACAAAACGAACTCATAACTTATAGCTTTGAAAGTGTTGGATGAATTCAATAGATTCGTGTACTTGTCTGTACCAAGGACTTCACAATACAAAATTTCTATCATACTACGTACACTGCGGTGGAAAAATTGCAATTAAATTGAATTTTCATCGGTAAAAGTCGGCTGCCCGCAAAGTGGTTGACTGCAAGAGTCGGGACGCCGTGCTGCAAGTGCGATGCTTTTATTTTCTTTAAATTTCTCACCTATGTTGGGTATGGGACATGTATTAATTCTTGAGAATTTTAGCTTGCGCTTTGCAGCGGCAGCCGAGATATTCAACGATCTTTGCGGCTGAGAGAGTTCGCGGAACAGAGCGGTCACAAAAAATGCTTTTTGGCGGTATCTTCGCCCATTTCTTCCCGAAAAACTTGATTCTTTGTGGAAGCATCACCCTTGACGCAGAAAATGAAACTGTAATATACCTATGTAGATCATAACTCATCCCACATCCCGCCCAAACTTCCCCCGAACATTACATATACATAGTCACCGAAAAATCGAAGAACACTGCCAGCCCAACGGGTCGAATGGCCCAGTTCTCGGCAACTGCCCACACCGCCGTAAAGGCAATTATCCAGCCCAAACAATGGAAGGTAATAACCCAATATTGAGAAAGCTAATCTCGCACTTAAAACCGCAAATCTAAGTCGGGAGTATGGTACACGAATTGTTTGACGTCAAATTCTGAAAGATTGGGGAGATTTCTGCAAGACTCTGGAGGATTATGTTGTCAACAGCTGCAAGGGGCTAATTGATGGAACAAAAATTTGGGGTCTCAACTGGAAGATTGTGCAGTTTTGAGCTGCAGATGAATGAGTAAGAAAAGAAAAAAAGGGGAAAAAATCGCATTTAACCAAGCAGGTAAACTATCAGTCTGTCGGGAAAATAACGGCGGATCGTCATATCAAAATTTTTCGCCTCACCGTTATCGCGCACCAAATCTCCAGCTTCGGCCGCCATCGCGAAGCGATGATTGGCGATTCCGAGGCGCGGCGATCCGCCGTTATTTTTTTTTTGACAGACTGATTAGTTTTGTCCCTCAGTCTGTCGGGAAAATAAAGGGCACTATGTCGCCGATCGCGTCGCTGAAGTGAAAAGCAATTTGGTTTTTCCGCGACACAATTCATTTTCTCGGCAGCGATGCGATTTTCGATAGACTGTATGCTCATTATTTTCCCGACAGACTATCCAGTTTACTGGATTTTGCTGGATTTCAGACAATGATTTGCTTGACGAACTAGACAATACAATGGGGGCTTACAGGGAAAGTACTCAACAAAAAGGTTCCAGAAAATTTTAACTCTCGCTTAGCAGGGGGAGCTGAGATTCTCTGCGATTTTTTCGGCCGAGAGGGCCAGAAAAACTCAGGGAGCGGTCAGTGAGAACCTTTAGATTATCACTAGGGATGATTTACCCCAAGTGCTGGACTCTGATTTTCTTTAAACTTTATCATATGCAACATACTTTTTTACAACCTATCTTCTTTATCGTGCATGCTACAGGAGTGATCTAGCTCATTTGAGAGAGGTGTTACGACAGAATAAACTTCCTAGCATACGGTTATCAGTTTGTCGGAAAAATAACGGCGGATCGTCGCATCAAAATGTCTCGCCTCGCCGCTATCGCGCACCAAATCCCAAGCCGCGGCTTGCAGTCGCAAAGCGATGATGAGCGATTCCGAGGCGCGACGATCCGCCGTTATTTTCCCGACAGACGGATAGAACACACAAAAAAACTCCCAAAAGTTTCAATTTTAAAAAATTTTGCAAAACTAATCAACAGCCTTTAAAAATTTCACAACTCACTAAAACTAACTGAAATCCGACATGTTCTACTCAATACAACTTTTGTATTGAAACCACTCGATTCTGTGTGGAAACACATGTACGAGCTCTACGCCCTTTTACGAAATGTTTCGACCACTCAAAATTAATTTGTAGAAGCCATTCGCAGAGGTTTATAATTGGCAAAAACACAAAGGAAACCTTATAAATTATGTAGAATACGATGCGAATTTGTGCAAAATGCGAGCACAAAGGAAATGTCAAAATATGGGAAGAAAAGGCGGGTACAAATTAAAATTTCAAATCCGGTGCTTACGTTAATTCAATATCAGTCTGTCGGGAAAATAATGAGCACTTTGTCGCATCATAAATTGCATCACCGCCGAGAAAATAAATAGTGTCAAGCCAAAATCAACTTGCTATTCACTTCAGCGACATGATCGGCGCAGCGACATTGTTCCCATTATTTTCCCGACAGACTGATCTTTCGTCTTCAAAGGCTGAGATTCAAATGTAATTATTTTAGGCCTTCAAAAAGAAAGATCAAACGGAGTCAATTCTTGTCTCAAAAACAAATCCGCTCAAAATGTAGACGGGTTATATAACGGAAGGAAGGAGTAGGTAGGAAACGGAAGGAGAGGACAGGAGTTTGAAGGATATCCGAAAAACCGGGAAAAAATTACAGGAGAGGCACTCCAAATGCGATTTCGAAGAAAATATATACACAAAATAAAAATGTTTTTTCTAAGATATAAATTTTTCGCAGATATATAGCAAAAACATAAATATTAATGTCAAAGATAAAGTAACGATAGCCTTAAATTGGAAAATTAAATTTTCGGACCAAAACTCGAAAGAGATAAGCCGACTCCCCACCCTCGCACAACGATAATCATAGCCAATTAATCAACTCAATTACCCACTCAAACAAGATACTACATATATATTCAACAGCCTAGTAATTGGACAATGTCAAGGGTCTTTTTCAGCCTTTTTTGCCGACAAAATGCTTCAATGTAAGGGGAACGGACTGAGTAAACGGATAATATTTACAGATCCACTATACATTTAGAACAATGGACCTTAATCCGGGGCAACCCGGGACACACTGGAGTGTCATCCAATGCAAGATGGAATAAAGGGATTATTTTCCTGAAACTTTAAAAGGGAAAATGTTTTTTGCATAGAAATAAAAATGCTTTTTCTTAGAAAACTTATTTTTAGAAAAAATGATTTTTTTCATAGAAAAAAACATTTTTATTTTAGAAAAGAATGGTTTTTCCCTAGAAAGTGTAATTCTTAGTAAATTTGTGTATAATGATAAAAAAAATTGATTTAAAACAGAATTAGTAGTAAATTTTGTTAAGTAGTAGTGTAACATAGTAAGTGTAGTAACTTTTTGAGTGAGTATTGGGGACTGGGGTATTCGACGGTGCTGATTTCGAAAACATAGTTCGTTTCTTGCGATTTTGACTTTTTTCTTAAGTAGTACTGTAAGTTAGTAGCAATTTTGAATTTTTGATTAATGTTTGAATTTTTAAATTGAATATTCCTTCTGGTTCGTCAGAATTTGTCTGAAGTTATATAAGGGTTAACTCAAGTATGAGCAAGAAATCGATTTCAATCGACATTGAGGCATAAACAATACAAATTGTTCCTAACTTACAGTACTACTTAATACTGCTTAAGAAAAAGTCAAAATCACAAAAAATAAACTATGTTTTCGAAATCAGCACCATCAAATACCCCAGTCCCCAATACTCACTCAAAAAGTTACTTTACACTACTAATTAACAAAATTTATTACTAATTACTATTTTAAATCAATTTTTGTTATCATTATACACAAATTTACTAAGAAATACACTTTCTAGGGAAAAACCATTCTTTTCTAAAATAAAAATGTTTTTTTCTATGAAAAAAATCATTTTTTCTAAAAATAAGTTTTCTAAGAAAAAGCATTTTTATTTCTATGCAAAAAACATAGACCCAACTTAAAATATTTCGACTTTATCGGTCTGTCGAGAAAATAATGTGGAATCAGCGTGCCTTGGAAGCACCCAGCATCGCTGGGCGACGGCTAACCGTAGCTTGAAATTTGGTGGCGGC